CCGATGAGTCCCTGTGTCTTTGCAGTCCACTGGATGAGCTGGTTGGTGTATGCGGTCGAAAGAGGGCCAAAAAGGGACACATCAAGGGGCTGCAGCCTGTGCGTGGAATGCGGCGGAAACACGGCAACGATTATCCGATGCTGGTCACACCACTCCAGGAAGTCCATATTGACATGACTAGAGTGTCCGTCGGTAATCAGGAGGCGGTAATCCCGGCCGTTTCGCGCCTTTTCTTTCGTGAACCGGTCGAAAACACCAATGAGCCATTCCTTTCCAAGTTCATGGTTCGTCCAACCCGTTTCTGAGGTTGTGAAAACGCCGCTTGGTGCTCCGGATCAAACTCCGTGAGCCAGGAGTCCTGAACTTGCCCTGGCTTGCCTTGGTAGATGAGAAACGGGGGTAGCGCTGTCAGGTCTTGACAGACACATGCCAGGAACGTGATCCATGATCTGTTGCCATCCTGCGCAGCACCGATCAATTTTCCTTGCTTCTTGGCACGAACAGAGAATACTCTCTTGGTACGATTGATGACGCCGAGGAGAAAGCCCTTTTCGTCCACATTATACGTGTTGCAAGGCAGGATGTCGTATTTCTCGATTTTCTCGCCAATCTTGTACGATCAGCAATGAAGGGATGGACTTGGGCACCTACTTACAAGCTCATAGTAGGCTCTGTATCTAGAAGCATTGTCTGCTCTCTTTCTTGCGATATCAAAACCGTCGAACCAAGTGCAACCGAGCTCATCGCTGTTACGTCGGACGAAGCTATACGGCCAGTCCTTTCCGACCTCAATTTTGGCGATATCCTGGGCAAAACTTTTGATCATCGGCAGCGTAGGCGGAATCCCACGTGATGAAAGCTTGCGAATATACGCAACAAGATCCCTTTCTTGCTGTTTTGAGAGACGTGACTTATACAAACTGTCGGCATCCCGTCTTGACCTCTGTTTGCCTTGGTGTCGCCGTCGCAGGGTAGTCTCGTCGCAATTGAACTGACGCGCAGTCTTGGCATAGTTAACAGTGTCACACAGCTTCAGAAACTCAAGCGCTTCATCAATCGGGGCCATGGTGGTGGAGAAATTCAGGATTGAAGTGGAGACGTGAACTGGCGGTGAATCCGGCGAATCGCCCGATCCGGCAGATCACCGGGAAATCCCTTATTAGCTTATCTAAGCGGCCATGTAAAAAGTCGGCTTCTAGAGCTCCTTAACCGGTAATAACTATTATGGTAGACCTACTTTCTTATCGTAGCCCCATTTTGCCGGCCGACCATAAAACTCTACGAAAGTGTCCCATAAACTATTCTTTTCTTTAGGTGGCTCTATATTTCCCTCTCCTGATTTGTCTTTGGCACCTGGTTGGTTGGCCTGGGGAGTCTGGTTATTGGTCTTGCCAGGTTGGCCGGCCTGCGTGTCCTGTTTGTTGATCTTGTCTTGTAGGTCGCTGGCCTGGGGATTCTGGTTGTTGGTCTTTTCTGGTTGGCTGGCTTGCCTGTCTTGGTTGTTGATCTTTTCTGGTTGGCTGGCTTGCCTGTCTTGGTTGTTGATCTTGTCCGGTAGGTCGCCGGCCCCGTCTCCTTCTTCGCCGTCCTTGGTCCCAGCGTTAAACATGCCTGCAGCCGTGTTTAGCCCCCCAACCAATCCCCCAAGTATACCTCCAGCTGCTCCTGCAGCCGGTCCTATAATCGGTGGTACAGCTGGTCCTGCAACCGGTCCTCCAGCCCCTGATCCTCCCTTGCCGTCAGCCGGTCTTTCCCTCTCTTTTACAAACTTTCCCTCAGGCTCTTCCGGACATAACTCTTCAGCTACGTCCAGCACTGTTTCAGCTATATCATTCACCCTTTCACCTACCAGGTCGATAAATTTTATCCCTTCCAACTCTGCCATCTTCCCCCCGGTCTCTCCTGCAAGTGGTATCCCAGCCACTCTAGTATTATTTTGAGCTAACTGATTTAATAATTCAGCTATTGATTCAAGAACTTTCAACCCGTTTAACTCTGGATGTTCCTTGGCCGCTTCTGCAAGTTCCATCCCAGCCTGTATGATGGAATTCGATGGTATCTTGTTGTCAAAGACATAATTTGATGTCATCTCGTCATCAAAGACATCATTTGATGCTACATGAGTTTTAGTAAAAGTTATTACTTTATAGCTAATTTCATAACAACGCCTTCCAATATTGGTATAAGCTACCTCTTTAAACGTACCTTCACTATTCGCTTGATTAGAGATAGGTTCAGGCTCATGGGCATTAAAGCAGGCGTGTGCGTTATAAGCTGGAAATCGATTGTCTTCAACAGGAAAGGAAAACAAAAAGAAGTCGCAGTATTTGGCGGTACCACAGAGCGCCTCCGTTTCATGGGGTGTATCCGCTAATGCATGTGGTAGTGGACATGAAACTGGGGGGGAAGGTGCTGGTATCCACGGGAGCTTGCGAGTTGGCGGAAGACCTATTGCAAAAGCAAGCGCGGTCAACGAAGAAAAGATGATAAAAAGCTTCATAGTTAGGAACATAGCGGACGATCTTCATCAAATTGATGTGCTAGATCTAAAGGTTGTAGAGAAAGAGTTGTAGTTTCAAAAGACTAGATTAGATAAAGCAGTAGAAGAACTTAATGTAGCCGGGCGAGAAGATGACTTTATACCTATGGGCTTGAGGCTAGGTAGGTCACCTGGAATGGCCTCTAAGATAGCAGCAGGGTCCCACTCTATCCCAGTTTATCCAGTTTTACCTCAGGTGTGCATAGTAACAGTTATGAGCCAGACAAAGGTTCAGGGAACACTCAGAATGCTATCCTGTTGAATGTAGCAGACCATAGTGGTCTAAGGCGAAGAGTGCAACAAAGGCAGCAAGTACGAGCCTGTAACCTACAGAGCAGAATTTTCTTTCTACGGAGACCTATTTCCTGGCTATAGGGAAGTCCGTATGACTTTTACCTACAGTGCCAGACTTCCCTGCGAGGCTGAAGGTAGGTCATGGCAGTGGGGAGCCCTATTAGTAAGTGGGCCTACCCTGGGGTGCCCCTGTTGAGGCCCCATTACGGTCGTTCTAGGCCACAGGTCCAATATATTCTGTGGGTTGGTTAGTATGGAACATAACGCTAGATGACCCATGCTGCCCTTATACTTTATACCCTTAGACTTAATACGGTATTTGGGGTAAAGCTTGGGGCAAGAGGAGCGCTATATCAAGACAAGCTGAAATATAGTCGTAACCTTACTTATAAGGACGAAGCTAGGCAGGTCACCTAGTATAACCTCTAGTCTTATACTACGGGGTAATTAATTATAATTTCTATATTAATTTTAAAAGCATGCTAATAAAAATCGCCATGCAAGAAAGTTCGTAGAGAAGCTATAGGAGGTTATTGCTATTGGGAAGGGAAAATTATCAGTTGAGCAAACCACATTATATTATTAGTACTGTGTACGGACTTCTCTGTAGCATAATATAAATAGAGCCCTGATTTCTCGTTTTGCGGCTTCTACTTTATGTTAAAGTCGCTAAATCCTCCTTATAAGTTAACGTATTATCAGCTGACTTGCTTTCGCCAATATGAAGATTATGACAACCCTCCTCACCGTTATATTGGGACTGGCTACCGCTACGCCTGTCGAAAGTCCAGCAATCTTTGCTCGAGGCGTTAAAGACGCGTTCCGGATTGTGACTGAAAACAGCCGGGAGAAAATGAAGTTGGGTGGAACGTTTAAGACTAAGACATTTTCGGATCCCAGCAACCTTCTGTGTCGTCATGTGCAGTGGAAAAGGCGCCAAACCCGCCAGCATGATCCGGATGGTTCTCAACTTAAAGGGCCGAGAAAGAAACCTAACACTCGTCCACCTTGGACGAATCATGGGTAACAATGACCTCGATGCACCTCTGCTAATAGCCCGGATGGCTACAACATCATAACCGTCAACGATGGCAAACGGATTCCCAAAGGCCGGCCTAGGGACACAATAAAGTCTTTATGCCGGCCTTGTCGTTTACATGCATGGGGGGATAATCTTGCGGAACGGAATATGTTTATACTTTTAGTAGCCTATTTAAGTGTAACGGGGTATGTAGAAGCTGGTGCGCAGGTGCAATCTGTTATAGTGACAACAAGCTATAAAGACTATAGGATGTACTGCCCCCTACGTGGCGAATAATCGTATATGCGTGCGGCCTGTCCCTGCCTGCACGTAACGATGAGGGTTTAGGCCTGTTGACTTAAACTAATAAAGTTATTGTCGGGAGGTCTGTACTGCAGTAACGCAATGGGTTGTATTCAAGATGTCTTGCTAGGAAGGGAGGAAAGGGAATGAGGGGGCACACTACGTGCCCTTTATACACGGATCCCCGAGGTCCATACACGTGACGCTAAGGGTCACGTGTGCGTGTGCGCACCTCCCTTACAATCCTACTATAGCTATATGCTACATTCCCACACTGGCAAATCTTCTTTATCGCTGCAATCGCAGCAGTAGCAGCAGGTGCGGGAGCGTAGCAGCAACCGCAAGGGTGCGAAAAGAGTGACGGTTCGAGCGGCAGCTAGCGGGGAGGGCGTTCGACTGATCCTTCTATCCTAATCGTAAGGCTATTCGTATCGACGAGGCGTTCGAGGGCGCGGTTAGGCGATGCCTTTGTCATAGCATCTGCTGGGTTGTCTGCGCCGTTAATCCAGCGGATTTCGTGATCTCACGCCTTTCGTAGGATTGACGTAGGCCATGATATCTATCATCAATCGCTTCTCCTTCGTTGTGCCTAGCTTAACGAGGCACTCGTAGAGGAAAAAGAGTCGGTGCAAACGATTAGGGATAGGGGAAGATTGAGGCGGTCTGTGATCTTCCGTATCGTCGTTGCTAGTGATATCCCAATATCGAATCCGTTGACCATGCCGTAGATCTCTGATGCTAGCACGCTTCGGGTGACCCTCTTACACTTCGTTGAGCTCCAATGGAGGACATTGCCCTTGATCCCGAATTGGTCTTTGGTACGTGCGGTCTCGGTCTCATTGACTAGGCAATGACGAAGCCTAGCTGTGACGATAGGTCCTTATTGTTCGCAAAGGAACCGTCGGTAAAGACGATAAGCTTGGCATTGGCGAGGTCAATAGGGATATACGTTAGGCCTCGCTGCTGGTGGTCTTTCTGCCATTGAAGCCGCTTGTTGAGGGTCGTGCAATCCTCTTCCGTAGGGGTTTGGACCTGGGCAGCAATAGAGATGTCGAATGAGGCCTCTGGTTGACAGATTGAAGCCACATACGCGCCACGGGCACGCTGTTCCACGTACTGTTGGGCTCGATCGTATGCCTTGATGTCGATGGGTTCGATCTTGGCTGCTTGACCCTTTGTTGAAGCAGTAGAGCGTTGTGGAAAGTGGTGTCTTGGAGGGTTATCTTTGCACCGTTGAAGTCAATGCTAGTACCCGGGTCATCGTTGTCTTCGGCTTTGCCCGAAATTGTGCCTTTACGAGTTCCGCTTCCTCTAGCGCGGAAAAACGTTGTGTGCCAAGCATAAGGGTATCGTCAGTCTGCATTCCCACAATCCCAAAGTTATCAGGTCCCTTATTCGTAATTAGGAAGCATAGGTCGTAGGTTGATGTGGACATGTCGAGGTTATCGACATGATGCCCGTGATAGGTTCGAAACCAATGGACTCCGGCCTCCGCAATTCCGTATAGGGGCTTAATAACGCGAATGATTGTTCCTTCCGGGTATCTTCCTTCTAATTCGGCGGGAAGATGCGTGAGAATGGTGCGGAATAGTTCGGTCTGCGCCTGGGGATACGCTTGTGTGATGTCACGAAGAGAGAGGGTCATGCCGTGAGAAAGGAGGTCTGGGGAGATAGCAGAAATAAGCCGTTGACTGACGCGTTGAATTGTCGGGGATTGCGTCAATAGGGTGGTTTTCTCTTGGTCGTTGTGCCCTTGGACCACGAGCCTTGACTTTCGTATGGTTTGGTTTCTTTGCCTTTAACCTCGCGGACCATGCGGGAGCGGAAGATATGATGGTTCCCGTGCTTTGCTTCATTGTAGCGTTCGAAGCTAAACACCTCGTACCAATAGATCATCGATCTCCGTGCTATCGGATTCCTCAAGGGGTGCCTGGCGTTGTGATAATGCCTTCGTCCCGTAGCTTGATGGCTAGTTGGTAGGCATCTTCTTCCTTCTTGACTAGGAACTTCGTCTTTGGCTTATTCTTCGAACCAGGGGCGCCTCGCTTGCGCGGCGCCGGGGATTAGGAGCAGGAACAGGGGCAGGGGCAGGGGCAGAAACAGGAACAGAATCGCTCGCAGGATCAGAAACAGGAATGTCAGAATCATCCGCAGCAGCAGCAGCGGGGCAGGGATCGTCGTCTCGTCGCGGAAATAAGGCTGCACAAGGGTGGAACGGAAGGTCTGGGGTCCGTTGATAGTATCAATTGTGACATTGGAGCCATCAATTGCACTAATCTTAAAGGGCCTTGCCAGCCGAGCTTTTCTCTCCACACTCGGACCTCGCTTTGCAGTGGGAGCGATAGTATAACGCCTGTTGATGATGGTCCGTTCTTTGTGTGTAAGGCGCCCTGCACTTGCCGCTCTGCTGAGAGCTGACGAAGCATTTTCATCGCCTTCTGGGCTGCGGCAGCCCTTTTCAGGGTCGTAGCAGAAGGGGGCGAATCTAACGCCATTCGAGGGTAGGCGCCAAAGACTAGGAGCGTAGGGACAATGCCATTTGGCCCTGCTGTGTCGTTGATGGCTTTGATAGCCATTTGAAGGATCGATTCGGGGGATGTGAAGGTCCCGATTTCTGCGTGGAGGATCTCAAACGCACGGCGGAGAGGGGCATGATATCTTTCAACCTTTCCAACGGACCAATGTGCTTCCACAGGACTTGCTTGCAGGTTATCCCCATAAGCTTTGCCTCGTTACGGAACTCTAGGGAGGCAAAATTGGTCCCTGCGTCGTGCTTGATAGTATCAGGGGGTCCGAGATATGTGTCTATCCAGAGGGCTCGGAGGGCTTCCCACGTATCCTTTGCTGACATCGATAGGAGGAACCTGGCTGCTTGGAACGCTGTTGCTGTATCTACCACGTGCAAGACGGGGCGTTGAGGGGTTCCAAGGTAGAGCACATCAGCGACGATTTCGTAGTTGAATTCCTGGTCATCCTTTAGGTGAATTTGAAGCGTCTTGGAGCTTGAGAGTGCATTTGACAGTGATGACAGAATCTCGAGATGTTCTCTAGGATATCTATCGTCACATCGTTGTGGCCAGCTTGCCGTAGGAGGTTGTGAAGTCTTGGGACCGCTGGGTGCCCGAATCGACGATGAAGAGTGCGGATCTCGCTCTCCGTGAGGAATGCGATAGCGGCCTCGTTGGTCTTAGGTAGGAGGAACCAAGGATGTCCCCATTTGCGGATAACCGAGGGTTGTTCGTCCGACAATAGTGTCTGTAAGGTTGTTGAAATAGATGCCTAGGCGATCCATATCAGCGAGAGAGAGGAGGAAGGGAGTAGGGGTCTTGAGGATATGGAATGTGATCCTTCCGAGAGGTGTTTTAAGGGCGATAGAGCCGAGGGATAGAATGGCTTCGCCGTTGCCGAATTTGATAGAAGCTTGGCCTGCTGTAGTCTTATCGAGCGTTATAGCAGGGTCTGCTCGTTGTAGAGCGATGCATTGGTCGTAGCCAGCTGTGGAAACCTTCGCGGCGCCTGTGTCAATTATGATGCCCTGGAATCGGAGTCTTGAGTAGCGCTCCTCTATCATGAATTGGGAAGCAGGTGTAGCGTTGTTTTGAGAGGTGCTATACACGTCTTCCCCTGTGATCAGATGGTTGAAGGCTTGCTGGCAGAGCATTTGGCTTGTGTGCCACTGTTCTGGGTTGTTGCAGTGATCGGAATGGTCCGGTATGGTATGGTATGACCTCTATACCATACCATACCACCTGCTGATATCCTTACCGGTATGGCTTACCGGTAATACCAGTAATACCGCCAAGACCGCTCAGAATGAGGCGGGTTGCAAAAATAGGGAAATGTATTGGCTACTAGCTGTCAACTTGATCGCTTATTCGCTTTCATTCTCGCTATCCCCGCTATCTTCGCTATCCTCAGCCCGAGGCTTCCCATACCAGGCACGTAGACACTCACAAGCCTCTATGATATCTGCCTTAAGCCTACCTCGACGATCAACTATACCAAGCTTTGCGCTACTAAACAGCCGTTCGCACTCATCTGACATTGGGGAAACCGCAAATAGATCCAGAGCGAAGCGGGCGAGGTCTCTTTGCGAGTCATAACGGATAGCCAATAGGCGATGGCCTCATCGCAACCTGCCTCCTCGTCATGCAGCCGGTCGGTCGAAATATACTGCTCATACAGATCGGTGGCAGCAGCCGGGCCGTCTATGCGAATGCGCTTATGTTCCTCTGCCGATCGAATGCTGGGTCTGGATCCTTGTCCTTCCTGACTGGAGGTGGTAGCGCCTCAACAGGGTACTTTCCTTATACTCTGTCTCCCAGAGCTGCTTCACCGCCAGCTGTGCGCTTTCATACCACTTCTGTCTTCCTTCGTCGCCCTGAAGAACCCATTCTTGCCTGAACCATGCCCACTTTCGATACGGATTGAGTACTTGAGCTGCGTAATACGCTGGCGGAAGATCAGTATCTTCAGGAAATCGATGTTGCCAATTCCGTTGTCGGTTGCTGTAATACTCCTCGCACTTTGACCACGCAGCATCTGCACAACCTTGGAGATACCTCCACGTGAAGTTGTCGTCGTCGTCTTCCTCGTGAATGTCATGGTAGTGATCCTTCGTCTCGTTGATCTCGCGGAGAAGACAGTCCAAAGTCGAAAACCAGTCAGCGAGGGATGTCTTGTTTCCTTCAGCAAGCATAGTTGCCGCGAAGAAGTCTTTTAGTGCGAGCTCGATCTTTCAAGCTCGAACCAGTGCTGTCCATCTAGTTTGAAGTTCGAAATCCCTTGAGACCCTCTCCTGGTACATGACGAGCTGAGAAGATTTCCAAACGTTCTCGAACATTTAACGCTCGTGTGATCGAATGAAACCACGAATTCCAGCGTGTGGAGTTGTTCTGATAAGCTCGAGCCCATCGAATTCGGAGAGATGGCCGCCGATAATAATTGCTGCAAACTCCTCCCGCCTTTGAGGAGTAAGCCGGATGTACCGCACAAGGTTATGGAGCCGGCCTAAACATCCAAACTTCTTCCACAGCTCCTCTACCTTCACGTAATCTCCGCGCTGGTGGTGCTTTTCAAGCTTCGCCAAATGCTTCTCACAATTTCGACCCATGAGAAACGCCTGGCAGCAGAGGTTGACAATGTGACCCAAGCAGCGCAGTCGGCGATGGCGACGCTGTTGCGGCTTCATCCATGGGCAGAGCTCCTTGAGTATAAACTCAACAGCGGTATCATTGGATGAAGCATTGTCCAGCATGAAGTATCCAATCTGATCTCCGCCAATGTCATATTCCGTCAATAATTCGAGAACGGTCGACCCAAGATTCTCGCCACTGTGCTCGCCATGAACGCGTCGCATGCCCAGGACGGTACTTCGTCGCTTGCCGGTGGCGTCAATCCACATGGCGACGACACCCAGGATTGCGTACGGGTTTGGCGAGGTCCAGAGGTCGAAGGAGATGGAGATTCTACTCCGCGACCGCTGGAGGTCCTCTTTCAGCTGTTGCTTCTTCGACAGGAACGCATCCATAACCCAACCTCGAATTGTTTTCGCAGCCTTTGGGAGGTGATTAAGTAGAGCAGGGTTCAGAAAGAAGAGTAGCTCGGAAGTACTGGTTCTCCAACTGGAAGAAAGCAATATGGCAGTACACAACCCAACGAATCAAAAGCTCTTTGAACCTCTCAACGGTATCTTTCCAGAAAAAATTGCTACTAGCAGCTGCGCTTTTCTGTTGCTCCAATACAGACGCCCGTGTCGCACCGCGTTTCTCACGCCGCTTTGTGGATCAATCTGGTGCCTCTGTTCGAGATGATTTCACCCCACGTGCCATTGATCACAAATAACTCTTGCTTATACTTTCCGATCGCACATTCGTGACAGTAGTATACCTCTTTCTTGTCACTGTCTCGGATGTAATGAAGACCGTACTTCCACACATGCGACGAGCCGAGACGAGCTGCCTTCTTCGTCGTCTTCGCGCGACGCAGGTACGTGACATGGTCTTGTACGAATTCGTCCGGAGGCTCAGGATAACGGACAGAATTAGACGATGGCGTCGTAGCGGAAAAGTGTGGCGCGGGACACGATGCAGGAGATCTGGAGCGGATTGATGCTGAACTTGTCGTAAACGAAGATGGCGAGGTTGGCGCTGGAGATTCCATGATCATGACATACACCAATTAAGGTATGGTGGCTTTCGATCATTCGATCTTGGTCCATCGTCCAACTAGCCTAACGTAAAAATTTTCGGGCTCCAACATCACGGAAGTAATTCGATTGAAAGGATCATTTAAGCTTTTCCTGTCCCTCCGACGACGCGATTGACAAGTCTGGCCAGTGATACGTTAGGTCATGCTCCGTCCTACATGGAAGAACTCATAAAACTGGGTGCAATGAGAAGTACTTTCTAATACGCACTAACACTCGCCTTACCTTCGGGCCTTCCTGGGATAGCTACCCGGCAGCAAAGACGAAAAGCATCCGTTCGGTGCCGGATCGACCTGACCAAGGTAGCCAGGTCGATATTGTGAGGATGATGGTATTCATGATTGAATGGAGTAGATAAACTGGCAGAAAACTGGTCAATAAGCCCTACAGATGACACTGGAATCATCGCCGCTCGGATTCTGCCTGGTCATTCTCCGCAGTGAGCCTCTTACCTGAGCTTATTTTTAGCGTTACTGGTATGATTCGGTATACCGGTAATACCATGGTATCAAGTTTTTGTCAAACCATACCAGGTCTTGGCGGTATTTACCATACCAATACCAACTCATACCGGACCATTCCGATCACTGGGTTGTTGTCATTATCTTCATTGTCGTCCTCGTCCCAGGGGTCGTTAGCATCATCGTGGGCATCCATCTCGTGACCTTCAAAGTCAAGAACGTAGGCTGTAAGGTCCTGGGAGGGTAATCCTATGAAGTGACAGTGGGCGACGTATTGGTCTCGGGATCTTTGACGTTCCTCGGCAGTGTGCTTTGTAGACCAACATCCTTCCTTATTGCAGACGAAGCACTTCTTATTCCACGGGTGGTTGTGGCCGTAACGGCCTTGTGGGCGGTTAAAGCGTTGACTATTGAAGATTCCCGTGGAGCGTTGTAGCTGCCTCGTTGAGCGTTGCTCTATACCTTCTATACCCCTTCTGACCAAATCTTCCGCGATTGTTGTTGTATCTTCGATCGAGATAGTAGTGGTCATTGGGATCCATATGATCAGATGGTTCCTCGAGGTCTTGATGGTATTGAGGGCCTCCTTGAAGATAACGAGGCGCTATTCCGCGTGCAAGATGGGTCTCAACGGAAGAGCGAAGATCTGCAAAAGGGCTCGATTCCTTCGGCGGGCTTGAATAAAGCGTATTCAAGTTCAGGAACACCGCGGCATGCATTAATAAGCGTTGTACGCAGTGGAACGTTTCCTGCATACGCGTTGCCAAGAGCTCGTTGGCATAACTGTAGCTTATCAAGGAGTAGCTGAAGAACCTCGTGTAGGGATTTCGTAGCATTATCGGCACGGAGCTTGTTAAAGGAAATAGTCGTCCATTCAGTATAGTAGTGAACGTGGTTAACTTCCGTATCGAAATGTTGCTTGATGCTATCGTATGCCTTGCGGAACGTTGAGGTCCAGTTAACGTGGTCAATGTAGTACGTTTGGGCTCGGCCAGTAAGGATTCGAGGGAAAAGAGCGTGGAATTGGTCCGGCTTGACCTGAATGTTATAACAGATACTCATAAAGATGCGTAGCTTATCATCGAGAAGGTCATAGGGTTCCCCCGTATAGTTCTTCTCTTTGTCCCAGATCTTGGTGAATTTCTGTTGTGTGTCGGCATCGACGATGTCGTTCGGGATGTCGGCCGGGGGAAGCGTTGTGTACGCTTCGAGGGATGTGGGAGAAGAGGGTTCTGCTAGAACGATGCTCTGTTGCTGGAACTGATAGCTTGTAGGATGTATTGTTCGTTGGGGAAGCGTAGCAGTCGTTGTGGGCGGTTCCGCAATTGTCGTAGCGGGAGGAGCAGGGAGCGTCGGAATAGGGGCTAACGGCGTGGATGGCTCCGCCGTGTTGGAGGGGGAGGGTTCTGCGTTAGTCGTCTCTCTTTTCTTGTATAGGCCTCCGTTCCTTTATCGAATTGGGTTACCATGAATTCGTTGTCGGGCCAGGCTGGTGGGTTATCGATCGTCTGTAGGAAGACGAGCTGTGGGATGATGTGGTCACCCTTTTCTCCTGTATAGATACCACGTCTCTTTAAAAGGTAACGTAGCTCCTTCGAAATTCCTTTGGCATCTTTCTCCACGTTGCCTCGGTCCACTGTTGGAAGTGATCCTGGAAGAATTCAAGGATATTAGTGCCATGAAGGTGTACGTTCTCCTCGCATTCTGACATAAATCGTGCGGTATATGTCATAACAGCTATTCTATCTTCCTCTTGTGGCGTGATCTCATCCTCCCATCGGGTCGGATCGATATCCTGATATTGGGTCTTTGGGATCGTGAGATTTTGGACCAATTCCTTACTTGGTCGAGGAAGGCGTCGTTCCTCGTAGAGGCGGGGTTCGGGGTTGGGGTCGTGCTTGTCATTGTGAGGGTTGTCACGTAGTTGTCGAATCGTGAGGGCTGTCACGTAGTTGTCGAATCGGCGTTGTGGACGCACTTACACTTAATGTAACCGTTAAGTGAAGTTGGAAGGATCTATCAATGGCCTACCGGGAGCTAGTTGGTTGCCGGGTCCGGGTAATCGTAGAGTCCTTGATCTTAGCATAGAAACCTCCTCTAGGTCCAACCAGGGCAATATCGCTAGGAATATGGTAGTTGGGCTTTCGAAGGTTGCGTTCTATCTCTTCTTCCTTGCCAATCTGTGATCGACCAAATCGATCACTGATCAGTGTCGGGAGGTCTGTACTGCAGTAACGCAATGGGTTGTATTCAAGATGTCTTGCTAGGAAGGGAGGAAAGGGAATGAGGGGGCACACTACGTGCCCTTTATACACGGATCCCCGAGGTCCATACACGTGACGCTAAGGGTCACGTGTGCGTGTGTGCGCACCTCCCTTACAATCCTACTATAGCTATATGCTACATTCCCACAGTTATGGACTTTTATGCTGCTATTATAAACACTTTAATAGGCTTTATGCTTAATTGCTATACTGCCCTTATTTAATAGTTAAAGTTAAGAGTATATAAGTAAGCCTACTAACCTTAATAGCAAATATATATAAAGTTATTTTAAAATCGGGCGATTTTATTACCTTCCTATATAATAGCATATATTTATAGAACTACGCAATTAGGTAATAAAGGAGGCTTAAAAGTATTAATTAAAGAGGGTATTAACTATATAGAAAGAGCGTATATACTATATCTCGGGTTATTATTATGCACTCTTTTCCCCTTTTTTCTACCACTAAGTGCCCTAGCAGATTGCAATATATTTGAGCTGAAGGTCAGGCCATTCAACCCCTGAGGGTGGCCCTAATACGGGGAGTACCCTGGTGGAATCTCCAGTAAGGTCGTTCTAGGCCACGGTTCAATAGTATCTAACCATATTATATCCAGCAGAGTCTGCGCCCATATCTCAGATGCAAAAAATATAAATGTAAATTATTCCCAGCCGCTTGCCTCTGGTCATGAGATATCCAGCACCTAGGATTAACAACTCATTTTGGCAACAATGAAGAGCCTCATCCTTGCCGGCCTTTTTATTGCGTCTTGCGTTTTTAACGCTCGCGCCGATGCTACTTCTGACTCAGTTTTACCTCCCTGCTCCAATTTCAAGTGTGCATGCGAGAAGATCGATTGTTTTCCTGAGTTTTATAAAAAATTTGAGGAAGGCTTACAATCATTTTGCACAACTTGGCTCGAAACTAAACCCGCAAAGAGAGTCAAGGATTTCGACATTGGCTCCCGTCTCACCCCCGGCTTCATCTTCACTCCGGGGTGCCGCGGTGCACACAGTACATTAGCTCATGCGATGGACTTTGTTTGCCACTGCATTGACGTTTTCAATCCTACTGCGACCCCGGCGCCTACTCCAGCCTCATCTCGCCAAGGCCAGACAGACGTCCAGGTGGAGGTACAGAAAGAAATTATCCCCGCGTTTAGGCAGCTTGCCTATATTATCCTTGATCCCGCCTTGCAGCCTAATTCATCCGACCCCGTTTTGCGAATATTCAAACGTATACGACATCTATGGAAGACGGCCAGTTTCGCCAAAAAAGGTCTCGAGTGCCTCGATAGAATGACGGGAGATGGGTTGAGTGACGCCAAAGACGACTTAAATAAGATCGCCATCATCGCTTATAGTCAGCTCGACAGGTTTAGATTACCATCGTTTACTTCACATTTCAATCATCGTAAAATATATGGGGAGACATTTACAGATATCTTAACCGGAATTAGTTACCTTATAATTCAAAATCCGACAATAGATACCGCGTTATCTAAGGAAACAACGAAAATATGCAACTTCGAGGGAGGGAGGATTTCAGACGTGTTGGCTGATATAGTAAAAGAGCTGGAAGAGAAAAAAGCTTCAAAGGATAATCGGGCTACCCAGAAGTTAATGAGTGAGGTTCTAAATAAGTTTGAGGAGGAAATGTTTGGGCCGACGGAGAAGTCACTTTTAGACGCCCTATTCGGATTATTGGATTTGAACTATAAATTGGCACTACCTCATGTCGGATAGCGACGAGTGAAAGAGTACTAGATGGTCTCGCAATCAAACGATCCCTGTCCCTGATCTTTACGGACGGGGGAAGGGAGCAAATAACTTTACTTATACATTACAATCGGTAAATTCGAGGGCTTTAACTTCATTACGGCGCTGAATGTATCCGACACAGTTGTCTAGTCTACGAGAATAGAACAACGCGCCGTGACTGCATTCATGGCCCAGGGCCAGATCCGGTGAATACAAGGCCTTGGGTAAAACCATACACTGACTACAGCATCCACCGACTAGGCCGAGATTCCATTCCTGGAATATGAATTGCAGAAGCAAAGAGTATAACAGCAAGGGCGACAATAAAAGAAAGGTTAGGCCACAGGTTGGAAGCATCGCATTGGACTTCTGTGAAGTATCTAAAGGTCAGGGAATTTGGCCTGGGAAATCACTCTGCTATATCTTTTGGCCGTTACTGAATAGTAGGCTGGCCTGGCTAATAAGTAGACGTAAAGTTGGGGTAGTATGGCTGGTCAAGGCGCAGCGCCGATGCCGCATAATTAGGTACGCGTATTCCCCACGCCTATATAGCAGACTCTTTAACGTATATATCGTATATATCGTAAAGTAAAGCTATTCGCGCTTACGGGCGCCGAGGCAGGTATAGGCTGCTTTGTCTATATATTTAGGCTTAAGGCTTAAAGATGCGTTATTTCGTCAATTAAGCCCTGCCCGCCCGGCTGCCTGCCTGCCTGCCTGCTTACGTCCTTAAAGGCGTTCGTCGGCATATAAATCTCGCTATGCCTCTTCCTTGTCTTGGACGGCCTTTTCCACCTTATCCCACTATATATCTTCCTCTAGCGACGGCTGCTATAAGGGCATCGCGACGATGATTTCATCTTGTATGTGCTATGCCCTTGTGGGCTCGTCGGCCTTGTCAGGCTCGGGGGCCCTAGCAAGCTCATCGTCAGAGACTAGCGTGCGGCGTATAGCTCGTTGATACGCTCGTGGCATGCATGTGTCCAGCTCGTATGCATCGCTCCGTTGTTGAAGGTATCGCAACCCCTCTCCTGTCACTGCAGCGCAGTCCTCTTGACAGTTGACGGGGCCGGGGGCGCTGCTACTGATACCTCGCTGAGTTCGATGCTTTCCACGATCTCGTGCGCCGAAGGCTCTCGTCCTGTGCTGTGTGCTCGCGGGGAACGCGCGCACTTAATTATGCGGTATCGACGGTGCGCCTTAACCAACCACACTATTCCACTTTTTTGTGTCAAGGACTCAATACCTTCAAACGTCATAGACAGTTTAGATTTTAGACACTGCCCTAGACTCTAGTGCACCGGATTCATCAGGAGAGGTCGCAGACGATGCATTGTTTGCGGTCGACCACATTGGCCATGAAGGCATCGGTTGGAATCGTGTTTCGGGCCGCTCCATTAGCATGCGTCGAAAAAGGCCGCGAACGAGCTGGGTACTGGAGCTTGTGTCACACAACGAGGCGCACGAGGAGCATGGATGACTGAGCGGCGATGGGGCAGAAGATCTCCTGTGGATCGGGCAACGAAAGGCTCTTTGATTCTCCATCTAAGTAATAGTTTGAAGCTGGCTTATGCTTGTGACGTTAGGTTAAGTGACGGTATTGCCACTCAGGCAGCTTGGATGACGATATCACCTGGAGGGTTCGAATCTATCACTAACATGACATTACGAACTACCTGCCTTCTGTTAGGCAGCAGTGAATGAGCGCCCTGATCTTGACAAATGGGCTACTCTTGACACCGCACCTCAGCCTGAGCAACAGGCGCGCAGGAGGACGTCACGATTTTCGAACGCATATAAACTAGGTGGCAAGTTCTCTTGCTACTATCTTGCAGAGGAACCATGGTTTTCTGACACTATATGGCCATGGTATGACGGGCTATCCCAATCGAAATCATGCAAGCCTCGAGAAATGCGCGCTCAAAGGCCGGCCCTATCGCCTGGAACACCCACTCCTTGTCCGAGGACAAGTCCCTCGAGAGGATGGAGCTCCGTCTGCCCAGCTGTGGGCCGTCTAGTGTGCCCTTGGGGACAGGCGGACCTAATGACGTAGGGGGACGAGGTGCCGATTCCAGGAGTATTTCGAGGGCCATATCCGAGTCGATCTCGGCAATGACCTGCGCAACCTCGGGAATCGTGACGGAGATGCTCTCTGCAGCGCTCAAGAGGGCTAAACCTCCAGCAGCCGTCCCGCCGGCGGCCGCGCTTCCGGCGGCCACGCCTCCGGCACCTCCGATCGCGGCACTCGTCGCGAAAGCCGCGGCAGTGAGGGTACTGATTCCTGCAGCGGCACCGATGAAAGCATCTCGTGCCCAGGCTCCGTTGTTCGAGCTACTCTTCAGCCTCTCGGCACTGTCAACGGCCTTCTGTCTTGCTGCCTGGCGCTCCTCTTCCTCTTTCTGTTTGATCTTCCTGGCCTCCTCCTCTTTCTGCTTTCTCTCACTGGCCCCCTTCTCTCCCTGCTCTTGCTCTCCCGCAGTCTCTTTCCCTTCGGGCGTTGGCTCGGCTCCAGAGACTTCGAGTAACGCTTTTTCCATATCGCTGACGGTAGCCTTGGCCTCGTCGACGGCACCTTGAAAGATGGTATACTCGTCCTTAGCGATGGCCGCCTCGTCTGTTATAGCAGTGTCCAATGACGCGACTGGTTTTCGGTTCATGGAAGTAAAAGCTTCTTCCAGTTTGGCCCAGACAGCTCGAGGGTTCTCTACCAAGACTTTTATGTGCTCTGGATCCTCTCCACCATCCAAGTGATCTAGAATCGCGTACACTTTATCATAGGCTGTTTTGAGACCCGCCGCTTCGGCCTCGGCTGTCTGGAGCAGTTTCTTGCTCTCCTGTATGGCCTGCTGGCCTTCGGCAATGGCGGAAGCCTTTTCGGCGGCGACTTTTACCTTTGCTGTAGTTTCGGTCACTATTCTCTTTTGTGACTCGATGGCCTTGGTCAGTTTCAGCTTGCGGAATTCAGCGTCGATCTTGCGCGTGTCGGCGTATTGCTTATACGCCGAGTCAAACTCTTCATAGTCAACCCACGTGCTCCGTCGGTGGAGATGACCAACTCCCTCGGCGCATATCTTTGCCGTAGCGAGCCTCTCTCCTATCGCTTCCGCCGCTCCAGGCGAATCCGACTTGAGATATTGGCCAGCCTCGATGGCCGCCTTAGTTGCCTTGTCCACTAAAAACTTGACCCTTTCTTGGAGCGTCTCCTTTGTGTACTCCTTGGTGCCTTTTATTTCCTCCCAGTTGAAAGCAATGCCGAATGGTACGAGTTGACCCGGTTCCCCGGCGAGTATGGCCAGTTTGCTCTCGGTTTCGATAGGAACCCCATTTTCGTCCTGGGTAATCATGTCGTTTGGTATCAGCATTTGCTCAATGCCATTCTCGGCCGCCTCTACTTTCCCCATTCTCAGAGTGCGAGCCAGATCCACTCCTTGATCCGTAATATAGGACTCCAGCTGCTGCATGGTAACCTGGACTTGTCTCTCCTGCAAGAGATCCCCTTTGTCCACTGCCTTAACCCAGTATTCTTTCGGTACCCACACCTTGGAGACCGCTTTAAAGGCGTCTTTACTTGCAGTGATTTCGACAGTACTAGATTCCTTGTGAGAAACATCGCGACAGGAGCAGGAGAGGGGTGTCGACAAACGTATCCGTCCCGTCGTCACGTTCAAAAACATATGGAGTGTTTGAAACATAGACTCCTTTTCCGAGGTGCGCCGCCGCCGAGTTACGGCTGCGAATAAGAGTACCCGTTTTCTCAATAAGAGCTTTTTCTTCCTGCTTGTCGTTAGCTGGTAGCTTGATGAGGTAATGCTATGGTCAAAGGAGGCATGCCTTTCCAATTGATCTATATCCGATAGTCATGCGGCTGGCATCTTCCGCCGGAGGGTTGGCAGCGACCGAGAGCCCGGCCTCATAGCTTATAAGGCTAATAAGCAAAGCGGCAGTTGGGAAAATCATGCTAGAGGCATTGAAGGATAATGAAAGTGAGAGAGCGATAGAATGAAATAAGCGAGAGGGCTATCAGAGGAAGCAAATGATAGAGCTGTCTGATAAAACTAGAGTAAATAGCGGGACATACTCCTCTCATAGAGGGCCAGTAATGGCGGCTGTATTTGTAGCACAAAGTACGTGTGCCGTCTACAGCTGTGAGGTATTTTGAAAACTTGGCAGGGGTTGGGACGAGTCGGTGAGAAGGTCAGCCAAGTCACAATATTAATGCAATTACCTCCCTTTCTCCTAGCTGCAGGACGCATAAATGGCAAGACTTATGATCCGTCTTTCATAAGAATAATGGAGACTTATATGGAACTACTTCGTAGGTAGGTGGAGTTACCGTAGAAACTCCAGAGATTGAGACGCGCCAAGCGATCGACAACGCCGTGGGGAGGGCCCAATAAGATCAGACTTTAAGGGACAAATTGTGCTAAAATCCACTTATGGATGGGGCCCCCCACCGATTAGTGCGTCTGAATCCATTGAGTTTCTTGCAACCTCCGTGGGGCTTGAGGTGTAACGAGTCAGGCAGGGGGTATAAAAGCCGAACCCCGACCAGTTTCAGTCGGACTTTAAAGCCGTCCTTGTAGCCTGTATAGGGAATTTCCTCCGGGCGTATGACAAGGCCACCACCCTGCTGATTCGATCTTCTACTTTGAAGCACGTTTGTCTCCACAACCTTGAACCAACGGCCTATGGAGACCCCTTCCAGAGAAAGTAATCATTCCTTGGCTTCTGAGCCTGAATAGCCGCAAGATCTAGTCCGACGTGCACGCCTTGGCCGCCGCTAGAGTGCCACCCTGTCCTAGCCTCACGCTGCGGGGAAATAGTGCTTGCTGGTAAGCTCGTCGACCAGGTTCTTCCCTGCAGAGACGCGGTTCCTCGAGGCCTGGTTCTGCATGTCGTCTCGCAGGACGGCATATCCTCCAGCATCGATCGGCTACGTGGTTGAGCCGACTGAATTCCCATGTGGGCTGACTGCACCTCGTAGCCTTACGCAAGATCAGCTTTCTAACCGTGGTGAAAGCGGGGCTGCGGTCGGCTTGTCTCCTGGGTTTCAAGCCATATGGTTTAATGCACAGCATAATCCATCATCTCCGTACCCTTGGATGTGTTATATGTACTGTAGTCTGTACATCACGCACTAGGTAATTCGGTCATCGGACCTCGCTGGCATATGCTCCGCCTCGTATGACCCAGACAGCATGATGCGTACTGGCACAGCCAAGATAATTCATGCAGGCATTGTCAAAGCTAGATAAAAAAGGCATGATGAGATTGAACTAAATCCTTCAAGATAGCCACTTCGTTAGTTACTTCGGACGTATCTGCAACAAAGAGTGGGAGAAGCCTAAACATCCTTTGGTAGCAATGTTCTCACAATCGTCTTTCGTTTTCGGAGTATCACAACTGGTCACTCAGTTGGAAATCATGGCTGCCGTGTCGGTCGTCCTTCCGCTCGCGGCTTCGGCCAGCGCCGTGGATGTCAGCCTTCTACAGGTATGGCGAGAGAGGCAGCTCCCCTTGCACAACTCGCAGCGCAAAGATGCTAAAATACACACAGTCCAGGCAAGCGTGGCAAGGTCCCCAGTGGTACAGGCCCGGCGTTAAGTGTTTCGAACGCGTCGAGTCCTGCCTGGGATCCATTGCGTGGTGCACTATACCCGAGTACTACAAGGACATCGACAAGTACGATAGTCAGAAGGCTTGCTTTGACGACCGGATCAAAAAGACGGAGTGGCAATACATCAATACCGATTGCCTGGCGCACAAAGAAACCTGTGACGGAACCGATGTTCTCTGTTCTAGGGTGGAGGATTCCACATTTCGCGGCTTATGCTACGCAGCCCGGGTGAATGGGAAATGGCTCCAGAAATATTCTCCGGGCTGCCTTGCTGCCGGAAGAAACGACGATGAGCGCTGTTCGGGAACTCTAGAGTTTTGCAAGGCCGACATAAGAGTCAAGTCGTACGGCTCGCCTGAAGCCTGCCTGGCTCACCGAGAAGAGGCCCCCAAAGACAGCAAGAGGGAAAATTTTCTTATTAAAGACTTTCTCAAGTGCTTCGGAGATCCAACCGAGGAGTGCGAAGGCACGGAGAATTTCTGCGCCCGGCTGACAGATTCTGCAAAAGTACAAGCGTGCGTCGAATCGCGCGAGAGGCCTCCCTTCTATGACGACAACTCTCCGGAGTGCAACACCTTGAAGCAGAAAGGGGGGCTTTCTGAAGCCTGTGTCGGTACAAAGGCTTGGTGCGCAAGCGAGGAGATATTCAAGATTTATGGATCAAAGGAACGATGTGAGGGTTTCCGCAAACGCTCCTCCGATGGGCCAAGCAAATGGGTGCCCCCCAACCAGACATGCCGCGACGACTCAGACCAAAGTGAGCAATGCAAGGGGACCGAATATATATGCCAGCGGCAATCTGCCGATCACGATTCTTGCTATAGCGCAAGGGAAGTCGCGCCTTTCCAGCTGCCCAAGCTAGATGGTTGTCCCGAGGCAGAACGACAGGCCGAGTCTTGCGTAGGTACCGATGGCTGGTGCCACGAGAGGTACAATCAGACGAACTACTCGACCGAAGGGGAATGCTTCTCTAGGCGAGGCTTCCAGCACGACGAGATGGTCGCCAAGGTTGTCGAGAAAATGAGAACCATCATCACGGAAGTCATTCTCAAAAAGGGGAAGAACGTGACCGAAAATGCAGTCTACTACGACCTTGTCGGCCAGCGCGGGGACGAGAATTCTGCCAAGGAGTCGGTCAAGAAGTATGTCGACGGATACTTGGACAAGCTTCAACAGGAGGCGCTGCCGGAGGCGACCAAGACATTCATGGCCAAAATACAGAAAGCGGCGGGTATTGGACGCAGATAGAAGGTGTCACCCCGTCTTTCCACGGGTAGAAACAACCCGACAATATACGAAACCTTTCTGCAACTATTAGACGAACATCGTCTCGAGGTCTAAACGAATGCAGTAGCACTATTAGGCGGTTTTCCAATCACGGCAGTTGAAGATGTTGCCAGTCGTTTGTCTATGGCGAGTCCCTGCTGAAACCGTGGCTAGGCTGGGTCGCTGGGAACTATGTACGAGGACGCAACAAGCCTGTCCGCCTGGTATCTTTTACCATCCTCGACGCATCTGTGACACTCTACTTTTGCTATTAATTCTTCTTCCTCTGTTCGGCCGGTGTAGTCGCGCCTTTTGCCCGATTGGCCGGGTTTTTCAAACCTAAGTTTCGTCCCCATCCATCGGATGTAATTTACCTTTGAGATCAATCGTTAAATCCTTCCCTAAGATGTAACAAAACGGATCAATCCCCTTCTTTCAGTAATTAGGAAGCCCCGTGATTGTCAGATACTGCGAGCACAACTGCCGTGAGGCTCAAGGATACACAGCGCGACTGAATGATAACTTCTTCTCGCTCACTTATAAGTAGACAAATATGTAAGAAACTAAGATCTTTCTTGTCATATTTGTGACCACTGTCGACCTTCAAATTGCCACCGCGTGCTCGTATGCAACGCCTGTACCTGGGGTTAAGCGCGCTCATCACGATGCTCACCAGCATGCTGGAACTTGCCCTTGCGCTCGTCGTTTCCACCGCCTCGGCGGCACCGTTACTGTGCCAGTCTACGACCAAGAGCCCGGCAAAGCCCAGTCGCTTACCCCCGTCGCTGCTCACTCGCCGAGATGGCAGTGATGACGTCGAAGCATTCAGGTTGGCGACGGAACGCCCCCCCGAAACTTGTGGTTTCATCTAGATACTCGCAGCAGCAACACCCGGGTCAAGCCCGTCGATGCCGACCTCTGGGATAGCCAGAAGCTTCAGGACACCCTTGCACAATAATGTGGTATGCAATATATATATTCATACCACATATGCCGTGCGCCGTCGAAGCGCGTTGTATGTCGTAGTATTCCGATACGCTAAAGCCCGCCTCGTACTCCGTGTCTAGTTTCCTCCGAATCAAGCTCCACCTCCAATCGGTCTATGAGCGCGGCTTCGAGATTACTTACGTTGATAACGCGAGAGTTCGGGCGAACTCTTTTTACGATGGTACTACTATAAGCGGGAAGCCTATCAAGAGCCGGCCGTTTGGCCTTGCTTGCTCTTAAATCGCACAGGAGCAGCGGCGTCCTAGGTCCGGCTTACGCACCGACGTGGCCGCCAACCACTCCTACATACGATGATCGCCAATATGGTCTAGAAAGGCTGGATAAACGCCAGACTTTAGTTTACCTCGTGCGTGCGGTCTTCACTAAATCCCGCTCTTATGTTATCACACTTTTCCCCCTTGGGCCATACTGAGGTGCTCTACTATGGGATGATATCGGCGTCAAGTCGAGCATTATTCTTTCCGGCGGCGTGGACTCCGAAAAGTATCTTAGCAAGCTCGCCATCCTCGTCTTGATTCCCGACCGCTATCCAGGTCTGACAGGATCACCTCCAATACCATGATTCTTTGGCAATATTTCCTGCGCTCTCCCTATGTTGTTTTCGATACATTTAATTATCAGCTTGCTCTCGCCCAGTCCATACTCGATAGCAACGATAAGTCGAATCTCGTCGAGATCCCCAAAAAGGGATTACCCGATCTTGACAGCGCGGCACATAAAGTGTGATTGCCCCCAGTATCTTCTTGTCCTCATAGTGAAGCTCTATTGGTCGCCAGGCCGGCATCGATCCACTAGCCAGCTGCAGCGAACTGGATCATATTGAAGACCTCAAAATCATGTACTGACTTGGGTCATTAGAGCTAGGTTGCTCCAACTGAGAAGGGCCCATTTGAAACCATTGACCCGGGTAAGGGGGGCCCCATTCATACTCCAATTAGATTCTATCCTCTATTTATGGCAATTCGAGGGACTGCTATACCCTCTATTTGACCACGTGAAAGAAATAATCACCTTTCCTTCGATAGACTCTTGTCACACCTCTAACGTTGGGCTTATAGTACCCCCAATCGTTTCGTAATCAGGCGTGTTAGAGAGGGAGGCAGCCCCTTGGAAAAAACGGTCCTGGCGTTTCGATTCACTTGCGGCCATAGTTGGAGACTTGCAGTATTTCTGTATCGGGCAAGACAACTTGGTGAAATAGGGGCAACTCAAAGCCAGAAGTTGTAAGCCGTGGTATTTGGTAAACTATTGCATAAACAATGTAGCCTCTTAGGGTTTTTGGCACGCATTCAATGTTTTTTCTGGTTTGCGAGCTCGACATGACAGACGGTGGGAAATCCACATCCCTTAACCAAGGCCACCGTGGTGAGCCTCAAGTTACAACGGGCTTCGTGGCGGAATGGGCTCCGATGCTGATGATGTCAGTTCGTTGGGTAAAGATTAGGCAAGGTTGAGTCAAAAAAGGTCGCATTCCTATCGACCATTGTTTGCCTACGTCAAGCCAATTCATTTCCACGCACGACAACCACGGGTGCCATCAAGATGACCGCCTCACACAATGTCAAATTATCACTAAACACATCCCGATTAAGTCCGACACCTCTGAGCTGCCTCGGCTGAGTTACTGGCAATGGTGCTGGGACAGTTAGAGATTCGCAATGCCTCAGTGCAGCAAGCTACTGGTTTCAGTGACTGAATCGCATGCTGACCCGGCTCATACTCTCAAATGTCTCGCTCTTGGTTGGCGTGTACCGTGACGAATTTCGGTGGAGTAATCTGGATGCCTTTGTTCTGGTCATTCTTGAGCTGCGTGCATTGGCTTGCCTTCGTCCTTGGAAGATTTTCGCATTTAGCCGGGACAACTGCTTTTCCTAGATACCTGACACTACATCATGCGGTTCAGCAGCAGCAAGAAATTTTGAGCTTCGAGGAAGAACTTACGCCCCGATGTAGTTGCGGTAAATCTGCAGATGCATTGTGTCATTGCTTATAAGCATGGCATTGAAGTAGTAGAGAGTATCGTCACCACAGGTGACAATGTCGTAGGACACGTATTCTTGGCAAATTTCGAATAAGCTGCAATTGACAGAGCCGGACTTGGTGTCGAGTCTAAATTGGATGCTGGACATTTGCTCGTCATTTTCACTCTCTTTGTTGATCCAATAGGACATGTCGTGGATTTTGACTTTGGTTTCCAGCTCGCATTTTGGCTCTGCCGCTGCCACTGTAGAGGCGAGGCCGGCGAGAAAGATGCTGACTGCGGCAAAACGCATTGCGGAGGTGCTATTGGACAGGGGCTTTCCAAAAGAGGCACAAAGGGTACAGATGGGGTAGACAATTGCGAGTATAGTGATTGCTGGTCTTCCCGAAGTCGCAAGCTAGGCCAAAGGGATCTTATACTTTTTCCCAAATGACAAAGTTTTGTTCTCCCTTGCGTTATCATGATTGGGCCCCGTTTCCACGGCCTTGTTGACCTGCTGAGAACGAACGGCCATTGCCCACTTTCGCCAGCGGATGATAGCAGGGTAACCAGACCATTGTCTAACCCACTCTCGAATACGAAGAAGGTTTGATTGGTGTCCAGTTTCCGCTGAACAACGACCGTCTCCGCAGAATATAGTGCGACATTATCTTTAAGAGTTCAGTGAACTGGACATATCTGGGTCTAGTAGTAGACCAAGTAGTAGACGAGATAGATACCGTGCTTGCAGGACAGGAGCTTCCCCCCCCATCCCCCTTTCAGAACGTGGAACCGCTTTAAGGATATAACAGCGTGAAACGTGGTGCTTTACCCTCCTCTATCTCTGCAATAGTTATAGTACTGGTGCGAGATGTAGAGAGGTAAGCCTTTATCCATCCTACGGAAAGTCCATGGGACTCGGCTCTACAGCCGTTGGGTTCTATATACCTCTCTCTGTCTACCTGTAAGGGTGGGGCAAACGTGCTGACATATGACCGAGCATGCAACACTCGAGCTATTAATGGTGTGGTAATTACGGATCATTGCTTTGTTCTATAGAGACTTATAAAATTTAAGTAGTCTTAGTGGTCTGGGGCCCCATAAATTAGCTTACCTTAAAGCTTATAGTATCTATAAATTAGCTTAGTCCGGCCGTAATAAAGGCCGGCATTTAATGCCTATCTATAACGTTAACAAGCCTATATGTTGCGGGATAAAGGCTAGACCCACCAAGGCCTAGGGATATCTGGCTCTCCCCTGCACACCAGCCAGAGACGTCACACCCGTCTATATATAAGTTAGACCTAACGACTAAATAGCCAAAAGAGACAAGCTTTTATCTCCCACTACTCAGACAGTATATTCTGCAACTGTCCAGAGTCACGGGAGAACCTCGTCAGACATAGCGAGCATCACTACGCATTCATCCTAGCCACGGTAGTTCTGACTGCCACCCAGCATCCCTAACACTATAAGAGCTATTTCTATAATTGCGATAGCTTCAAATTTAGCTTTAAAATGTGTATGCGTTTGTGGGCGGGCACGTATAGCTATAATAGCTAGGTCGGGACTCAGTTAATCTGTATGTAGTGTAATTTTTTAGCCCCTCCGTCTTGGACCACTATTTAATTTTATAAGTTTCTACGGCATGGGTGGGTGAAACGTTAGAAGCATTTCGTACTATATAGACAGCTCCCTCCGGGCCTTTAGCAGCTGGGCCGGCTTGGACAACTGCCTTGTTGGCTTGGCTTCGTTTTTACAATATTATCAACGAACTCTTTGCGATGACGAATATAAACGGAATCTACACATACAATTTACTGGCATTAAAGCTTCTGGAGTGTGGTAGCACAGAATAAAATGAATCTACGGATAAGCGTGACTGATACGGTGGCATGGGGCCCCGGGCGACCCCCTCGTATATGATTTCTTCTGGGTGCAACCTTCGTAATAGAGCTCAACTACGTATAATAACGAGTCATGACAGATCACCTGTCTCCGAGATCAACTGCTATTTTTTTTTCCTTGGCGGGGAGGGGAGTGGCACCTTTACTGATCCATGCTAATGACCAGACGTATAAAAGTGGAGGATCATATAGCTGTACGAGTACGAAGGGTTATGCAGCCGTGTCTAAACTACTAAATGAATATTATGCAACTTCCGTGCCATGCACGAGAATTTGCTTTGACGGAGAAGGCCTTGTTAAGGACGTTCCTTTTTCGGCTTGAAAGTACTTTAGGTGTCTGTATGTCAATATCTCTCGGCCTACAGCCTGCAGAACAACTGTCTTAGAAAAAAAGATTTACTCTTTCTTATTGTACTGCTTTTATTCCATTCATCATGCCCCTCCTTCCTGCTATCGTCGTCGCTGCCTTTCTGCCAGAAGCGCTTAGCATCTGCTACGTTGATAGCCGGAGCAGGCCGAATGGCTCTATTTAACGAACTTTCTAGTACAGTCGACGAATGGGATAGGATTCTGTTTCTGTCAGGACAAGAAAGGGCCTATAATACGCGTTAGTAACACCTCTATTGGGGGTGCCCTCATTTTGCATGGTGTAGCGGTATTTTACCAGCTTGACAGTTTCATAGATTGCAGGAAACGCTGTAGGGGAACTGTTTTGAGCCTGAGCGATTATCGTGCTTTGTTGGATTGAAAAAATAGATATACCAGGGAAAGGGGAGAAGAGCCTAGATATAGATTTCCAGGTGCCGTGTCTGCGACAATACCTTTCAGTGGCCAATGACGTGATCTGGGTCGTTATGCTTCGAATTCTATCGTGGCAGACTGTCGAAACTCATCAGCGAGTCATCTATCGCTGTAGTCTAGCCCCTACGATTGTGTTTGCAGCGGCGTCGGAACGCAATACGCCCGCGTGCCGGGGCTTCGAAGCGGTAACGGCATTGCCTTAGTCGTCTCTTGCCCCTCCAATATTTTCTTCACATTTGCAGTTTATGGAGCCGTCTGAGCGTGTTTGGCGCTCATGCCATGAGCGCGTGCCTATCGTTACCGAGCCAAACGTTGTTGCTTTCCTAGAATGGGGACTGCCTGGTGTTGCTTTCCTAGAATACGGACTGCCTGGTCTCACTGAGTCATGTCGATAAGGGAACATCGTAAAGATAGCGAATCCCGTGTGTTAATCTTAGACACTCCTCTACCAAGTATCCTAACAGACCAAGAAGAACCATGGGCGCAATTTCTCGCGAAGAGAGATGCGAGAAGTGCATATAAAATACACGAAGGTAAAAGGGGAAGTAAGGGGTCGGATAGCTAGGGCAAAGTTATTTAATTCTCTCGGGGGCAATAATTGCGGTAGGGGAGCAATTATTATATTACCTTAATTGTCCTTCTTTCCTCTACCAAACGCCCCTATTTATATCCCTGTGGTATCTTAATTAATAAAGAATATCTTGCTTAAAGAAGCCTCTAATATCCTTTTAACTCCCGAGCTTTTTGCCGGTTTTCCCCCTCCTTTTCAGCCGTTGCCGGCCCCTCCGTCTTATCTCTCGCTACCTCTATAGGAAGCTATCGCCACTTCTGCTTCCCCACCCTCCTTTCTGCACCTCCTTTTAGCTCCTTCTTCCTTCTTCTTTACCGGTGTTTTTAGCTTCCTAGATCCCTCTTGCCTAGGGATATCTCCGAGAACTGCGAAATCAGGCCACGCTTCGCGACACAATTAGCATGGGCTGATGCAATTGTCCGTCATGGTTCAGGTTCCTATGATCTCCAAGGAGTTGGTCAAGGGGGAAAATCTCAAGATGGTCGTGCTTCATGCAAACATTGAGGCTATACACGAGTCCTCTTCTATTATTGCTAGCTATATACCACAGAGAAGTGCTGCGTCGATGACCGAGGCCATCTCCGTGATGATGCGAGAAGGGGTGCTGTTTAGGAGGGCAACGAAGCTGAAACCTGCTTCTTTGAAGCGATTCGCTGCGAAGAATACAGGGCAGGATAAATAGATTAGGCAGTGGCCCCGTTATCTTTACAACGTATCTTCAATCATGATTAGTGCGCGCGACTCGGCGATACAAATATTTGTCCAGACTTTCTCATGCAAACACTGGCCGGACTCGAAGTCTCTATAGCCCAGAAAACCCTGAGGGTGTATTGTCTCACATCTAGCTCCCGCTCTAAAGCTCGCCTCCCCAATCTGCGAAGCAGTCAAGGGGCTTCTCACATCTTCCTTTTTCCTCGTGCAGAAAACATTTGTTTTTCTCTCCGAAACCCAGCGGCGTGTTCTCGAATATCTTCAAACAAGGTTATACAATTAAGGATATTTCTTACTACTGCAAAGCGAGTCGTGACTTTCCAGGGTTTGGTCGTAATCGCTTAATGGGGATAAAAGATTAATCAAATGAATGCAGGCACCATGGTCAACGTCTCTCACTAACACTCGTAGCAGCCTTCCCCTCTACATATGGACGTGAAAAAGAAGAATCATAAGGTCCCTAATTGATCGCCATGAGATTTTTCTATGTAAATAGCTGGAGGTTCGAACACTGTTCGCTCAGTCCCAAGGTCAACTCGCTCGAATGTGTGTCTACAGATATGTTAGCTAGGTAGCAGTGCAGTTTCATTGGCATATTTCAACTCTACTGTCCTTTTAAATATGTCTCGAGATCCGTACCAGAGCGCTATGCGACGTACATACGTTGCGGTTTTCAGTTTCCAGAGCACCACTACTGCCCGCTTTTTCTTATAGTAAATCAAAGTTCTTTATAATGTACAGCATAATAGCATGTGTACTGGAGAAAGTTTGGAGCTTAGTTGATAATATCACGTTAGATGCGACTGAAAGGCAATGAGTAATCTCATAACGTTCCTGACCTGTACGGAGTAGTGATTCAAGAAAAGGAAGTATGGGCAAGGGGGCTAGGGGTATTCAAGTTTAGATCACGTTTCAGATCCAGGTCAGTGTCATGCACCCGCGGTTCGCACCAACGGCCCGCAAGCTACGGTAGACTAAAGTGAACTCGAACCGTGGGCCACTGTCAAAGCATGACACGTGCCGAAACATTGTTTTATTATGGGGACTGCGGCCATCACAAGTCCTGCTTGCTGGAGAGAGTTCGTGGGCAGAGGCTGACTTAGGTGTTAATAGTTAACAGCAAGAAGAAAGGCTCCTATTCCTGCCCTCGGCTAATACCTGTCCAAGATTTATTACCTGGGCATATAGCGCCCTCCCGTCTTTTCCGCAAACCTTAGCCGCCTAGAAATATGTACCTAGCAAGGCTCTGCCTGCTATGCCCATCCAGATACATAGCTCTTGCAAACCCAGCAAGCCTAATTTTGTTTCCCATTCCTCTTTTCATTTTGACCCAGTACCCGACTTGGGTCTATGCCATCGGTTTGCTCATGGATTCGGCCATGGACTCTTCCATGCCCTTGGACTCTTCCATGCCCATGGATTGCCCTTTGGGCTTCCCCTCAGTCTTCCCCTTCAGTGCTTCACCGACTTGTTCCCTAAACTTTTCCATTTGCCCTATCTTTGCCTCAAGTCTCCCCTTGGACTTTTCCTGTTGATTCTGGATCTTTTCTTGCATGTTTTCTTTCAACTTTTCCATTTTTGAATTTTGGCCGTCCTTGGGTTTGTCCTTAGAAGAGTCGCCTTTGGGCATGCCCCCTCCTGCGTCCGTGCCTTTCTTCTTGCCGCATCCGCAGGTCTTTCTACCGGATTTTTTGCCGCCTTTCTTTTTTGGATTATTTTTGGGTCCATTTACCGGTGCCGGTTCGCCTGCCTTGCCGGTGCCGTTGCCGCCACCGCTGCCGGTTCGATACCAATTAGCAGGCGCGTCGCCCAGGCACTCTCCGACTGTCATTGCTTTGTCGACCGTTAGCACTCAAGCCCTAGAGTCATACAGGAGACAGTAAAACAGGACGCCGCGTACATTGCTTGCCCTTCCCCGGCCCATTAAGAAAATTAATGACATTGGGTATCAGCTGGTTGACCGTCGTGTTGTGCACGTCATGCATCAGGGAGATTGTGCCTCCATTGCCAAACTCCCGTTTGAAGTTTTCGAACGCCTCGTCGTTGGTCTCGGGCGTCGTCTTTTCAAAGTCCTTGGTGTCGATATCAGCGTTGATAACGTGATATTGCATCTGTCCCAAGACCTGCAAGGCCTCGTCGTCGGTGCTAAAGAAGGGCGGTCGCATGTATGTCGGCTTCATGCCAATGAGTGTGGCCAGCTCGTTGTCGAGCTTTGTCATCTCTGTTCTCACTTCATCCGCAGAGATTTTTGAGAGATCCGGATGAGAAAAGCTGAGAGCCTGTCAGTGTCTCTTGTCTTTCCTAGTATTGGGTATCCAGATTGTCGATTTAGACGTACGTGTGCGACCCGATCTGATGTCCCCCGTCAAGCATTTGTTTAAGTTCATCTCCCCTCGACGTGATCGAGTCAAAGTTTTGTCCGTTGACAAAGAATGTGGCCTTGAGCTTATTTTCATTGAGCATCTGGAGAAGCGACTTGGTGAAATTGAAGGGTCCATCGTCGAATGAGAGAGCGAAGGCGTTGGGCACCGTGCATTTGGTGATGGCCTGGCCAAATGGAACGCTCGAGCCGGAGCCAGTGCCTCCGCCCGCGCCTGGGGACCCTCCCGAGGGTGTTGCCGGCCCCGACGCAGACGGAGCGGTCGCCACAGATGACACAGACGGAACGGCCGCCGCAGACGGCGCAGCCGGTGGTGCAGGCGCAGGCGCAGCCTGACTGCTGGACTCCTGAGCCAGTACTCCGCCAGTGAGCAGAGAGCTCAATAGTATTAAAGATAGCATTTTGATCTGATGTCGCTCACAGCACCTACGTTCACACGGGCCCCGAGACGGGAGAATGGGGAGACGAAAACTTATTTATCAGTCGCATCACTTGCTAGCCGTCAATCGTCCCTCTCCATAGGCGCATGAACAAGGGGGTTGAATCTTTCGGGACGAACACGAAACTGCTGGGCCGCATTGTAGAACAGCTTCGGTAAGGTGTGTTCCCGAGCAAGAAAAGAGGGGATAGAGCCTAAGTAGGGATGGCAGACTTGATCAGGTTCGTTCCGCATGGGCCCTCCCGTCTTTGAATTGGACGAGCTGACTGAGGCCGCGGTGTTGCCGAGTAGTTTGCCGCCAAGGCTGGCAGAGAGTCAGGCGCCCGAGGATATGGAGAGACAAAGGCCTGGACAGTCAGTTTCGGCTTCTTACAACGGTATTACAAGTGTACGTTGTTGCAACCATTTGTGAGTGCATAGCCCTGGGCGGTTGCGGACAAAGCGTGTGTTGGAGGCCATTGACGACCATGCGCGATGAATGTACGTCATTGCCTGCCGTCGCCGCTGCTTGACGACATGATCAGTTACATTTGATCTGTCTGAAGGGGACGACGAGCTAGTCGCAAGATGGGCGATCAAACACGTCGGATGAGGCGGACTTGGGCGCGGACAGGTGATCTAAAGAGGCGCGGGCGGTGTTTGATCGTCGACCCGCTTTATCAGCTGAGGATCCATAAGCTTATGAGACAACACAGCCTCCAGGTCAGAGTTGCTTGAGTCATGGCGGGTTGCAGGCTGATGACAGCATTGCGTCAGGGCCGGAGGGGGCATCACGGTTTGCAGAAAGCTGGTTGCAGAGAACATGCATGGACATGCATCAAAGTTATATTCGTTTGAGAAGCATTTGTTGGAAGAACCTCCAAAACCCGAGTGCAGGATATATGCTGGCACATGGAAAGTGACGCAGCGGAGCACGAATCGATGTTTGAGCCACTAACAAGTTAGTTGGAGACTTTTCAGGAGCCCCTGCTAGGATAAGCAAGTACGAGAACACAGAGGGGGATGAAACTGCTGTAACGACTTCTCCGGGAACATTTGTTAAACGTCCAATGAGAAGCCGGGATTCCACCATGCTCGGGAACCTGTCGAGCTGTCCTACCCAGTTACATAGTTTCTCGTACATCTTGTTCCTGGTTTCTGTAGTGTCCGTGCGAAGCACGGGGCCATAGATGTGGATGAATTCCCCCATTCGGCGGCATTTTGCCGCCAGGGAAGATGCGGCCGTCAAATATCCTATTGGTTTGTTATAGGCTCCGCCGCCAAGCCTTGAGTCCTGAAACTCGGTGCTCAAGTCATCGGCTCTGTGTGTCTTATGTGCGCCTCCCTCCCTCTCTTCTTTCTGTTCTTTTCCCCTCCTGCAGCATGCATCCCTTACCGGTGGCTCGTGACGGGCTGATCTGGAAATTGTACGCCCTGGCTAGGCAGCTCTCGTAGTAGCTAACTGAAGCTGCCACGCCGGGTCATCTCGTTGCGACGATCGGTGTATCATGACTCTTGCCCACGCTTGATGCGCCAACGGCGTCACCACTTATGCAATCCCCAGCTCTCAGGACAAGTCCGGCACGGATCCGAAATTCGGATTTGCCGCCCAGACTAAAATCTCCCGCCGCACCTGGTGGGAACTTACCCCGGCGTTGGGTACCGCGGAGACCCGCTGCCGGCTTGCCTCTCGATGCGGTACCGGGCCGGCCTCGACAGCCTCTGCCCTGGCGTGACTACGGCTGCCTTCTACCTCCGTGTGAGGGGGCTGTGATATTGAATGCCAAGTCGACCGGTTTGCATGAGGCGATTAACCGACTCTTCTACGCTGAGAACTATATATTAATCTGTCAGGATAAGGAAGGGCCTATAATACGCGTTAGTAACACCTCTATTGGGGGCCCCCTCATTTTGCATGGTGTAGCGGTATTTTACCAGCTTGACAGAATCAATATATTGAAGAAGAAACTGCTTTCTGATCAATGGAAAGGGCTAGCCTTCATCCCTAGTCATCCAGGCGAGTGCTATATGTCCCAAGACAACATCTTCAAGTATGTACAGAAGCCGACGCGGTTGTTCTCTGCGCCTGGGGTCGGTCCCGCCGGCCACCGATCTTATGATACACTTCCGTCTAAGCTGCCCCGGCGGCAGCGGCCTGGCCGGCTTTGCCGCCGCCGGTGGCTTCGAAGAGGCTCGCATGGACCTGACGGTGGGCCTCGCGGGCGGGGTTGTTCTGGCCGGCGGGGATCGCCTGCTCAGCGCTCGCCGGGTTCTGGACGTACTGGACGTGGTCCATGAGAATCGTGCCGAGGCCGCCGCCGGCACCAGCACCAAAGAGTGGCTGTGCCGTCGCGTTGGGTGCGGCCAGAACCATCAAGGCTCCGGCAAAGGACAAGATAGAGGCGACGGTGGTTTGCATTTTGATTGATTCGAGGAGGAATCAAGGTCGAAAAAGAAAACCAAAAGGGTTGAGCGACTGACGTTGGCTTGTGATGCAAAAAAGGTATTTGGAAATTGCTGTTGATTACTGCTTATCGTTTAGAAGTGAAGTGAATGGGTAAAGAATACTCTTGATATTGAGGTGGCATGGGAGTCTATATACTGATTGATTTGAGCGTGAGAAGAGTCTCGTCTCGTTTTGAGGGCGAGCGGAATCCATGGTTGGCGAGGGAGCTGACGCCGCTCGAGGAGTTGCGATGCTTACGACAACCACTCCGACCACTGCGCGGTTACTGCCACGGGTTTCACTTCATGGGTGTTGTTTCACGCGGCGCGAGGAAGCTGCAGTATCTCGGAACCGGGGATAATGGCTGTGGATGAGTGCACGAAGCCATTCATCCCAATGTATACTACATGGGTATTTCATTTCAATCACGTCCTGTTCGTAAGCCTGCGTTATACTTGGCATAAGCCATCAAGACAAAGCTCTACGTCGGAGCCGAACGGCTGCAGCGAAGCCATTTGATGCGCTTAGACGTCACTCCATCTACAGAAACACGCCGAAATCTGCTCACGATGCAGGCAAGCGGGTTACAATCCCTACGGACTCCATCAAACTTCCAAGGACTGTTGTAGACCCTTCATTATACTTCTAGTTTGAAAAAAGAACCGTTGGTTGCCGACGTAGGGGCTGCCGTTGGAGGCCAATGGCAATGTCAAGTGCCAAGCTGACGAGGACAAGTGATGAGTGGACATGGGCTCTAGCACGAACCGGTTCTACAGCCTTGTTTGCAAACACCTCTTGTTCGTTATCGGCTTTCGGGATCTAGGATCAACCCTCCACATTCGCGAGAAATGGCGTCGGCTTCCCCAGAGACACGCTAACCTATAAGCCCGAGTCGCAAGCATAAACAGGAAGAGATGCCCCGAACCTCCCTTGTGTGGTGCCCCAACCTCTTTACGGAGTGTCTTTCGGGACCCTTGCTCCCATCACCCCCTACCACTGTCATGCATGTTGTACCGCGCCCAAGATTGTACTAGCAGGGGAGCATTAAGCAGGTTTTCTCGAGACTATACTCCAAGAATGTAACCACCCTTTGTGTGTAAAGCTACGCGTACCTTCATGGAAGTCCTTTTCCCAAGCAAGGGCTGCCTCATCTTTACGCAAGGAACTAGTTAGGTCACCGACCTGAGTCCTGCCTTCTCGAAGCCTGGATAAACCTTGTCACTGTATGGGACAGCCTCGGGTCAAGCAGAAATTCGCGGCCTAGGCTGGAGGCTACTTGAATTGCTGTTACTCCTCGATGCATCGACTCAACCCCGTGACTGCAACCGCGCCTCCCAATGCTGTGCTGTAAATATTTCCCAACAAGAACCCACGGGCAACCGTCCTTGTTTGAGTTGCCAGCGTAGAACCCAGCGATCGAGAGCCCCCGTCAAGTCGCTGCAGCCAAGAATGGTTCCCAATTAGCACGACGCCACCGGCTAGGTATGGTTCTAGGCGTACATTGAGTTGTATCCGTTTGGGAGCTTTCTCGTCCGAGTCGTTTGTCCTAGTTGAGCATGTCATTAGCAAATTACCTGCAGCAAAGCCGCCATCGACCATGGAACTTGGGAGCCGACGCACTGTCCGACGCTCCCAAGACCTAGCGGTTGGAAATCTGTGTTAGTACGCTGCCAGAAGTCGTGCTTCTTTCTCACTTATGGGGCACGCACATGGGTTTCCTAACGGCAACGCCAGATGCTTCCAACGACCTGGTGTTTGGATGTACGTGTTAGCACGCTGCCAGCCCTCGGATGCCTTCTTGCTCAAGAGGCTCGTACTTGGTAGCAGTCGTCCTGTAGTGTTCCGCACATGTCAGCACGTGGCAAGCATTCGAGCTCGGTCATAGGTGGACACCTACGCTGCAGCATTGAGAGCTGCTGGTGCAGTGGTTGTTTTTCATCATGCACCTCCTCTTCTCCAGGCCTTCCATCGGTTCGGATGCAATCTTCGCCTCTAAATCTGTCTTCGGAGGCTGTTCCAATGGGGTTGCCGCTACCAGTCCAGCAAGGAATGCCGAGACAACAATGGCGAGCTTCATTTTTGCAGATTGACGAACTGAATCCTTTCAACGAAGTCGAGGATCTTGTTAAACTTGCTTTGATGACTGAGAGAAAGATGGTTGTGATGGATGAGGGATGATGTTGCAGAGGATTCGAATGTCTTTAAATAATCCAAAGACTAGTCCTGGGGAGGCGCCGGAGGACTGTCGGTGCCCAGCGCCGAGCTCTCAGTTCTACCTTGCCTTCTTCATTCCTCTGATGATTTGGTCTACCTGTGAAGCTAATATGAGCCAATGCTTCGAGGTTTCGCGGGTGATCCTCGTCTCTCGTGATTGCTCGGGCTCTGGACCAGTCACGAATTGGCCAGGGCCATCCGATCCACATAGTACATTTAGGCTGTTTAACACTTTATGTAAGGGTTTTTGATGCAGTGACGGCGGCGCCATCGGAAAAGCAAGACGGTTTCAAGGTTATTTGCAGCGAGTACCAGACTGAGTGACGATGTCGTTGAGTTCATTTTAATGGATAAAACTCCGCTCTCTCGGGGTCTGTCGTGGTTACCCAACAATCAAATACTCACTGACCAAAATCAGCCTCTAACAGTCGACTTATATTCCTATACATGAACCACTTTGTTTGTCCTAATGATAATGGGTACCGCCTAGGATATATATTCACACTTGGACATGACTTCGAGAGGTGCAATTCCGGCATGGTTTACGAGTGGCTTGTTCAAGGAGAGAGCTCTCGTCTGAAATAGCTTGTCGACAACCAGCAAGCACTTTGAGTACGGACATGCAGTAGCAGAAAGTCCTCGGAAACACATTAACCAGATGACCTGTTCTTTCATAGACCATGGCCAGGCATAGTCATCTACAAGGGGTTAAAGTTGATGCCAGCTCCACCAGCCCAAGTCCCGTCTATAGCAGACCCCCATCCCACAAATGCGCCGGATACATTTTCCTATCCGGCAAATACCCAAAATCATCTCCTTGCGCTCTTGGGTCCAATGATAGCTCAGCTTCCCCGCATGTCCTTAAAACTCTGGCAACAATCCAGCTGCAACTAAGTTTGCGAGAGCACGTGGTTTATCACACGTCGGCCCAATTTGAAAGTCATAGCCTTGCCAGTGCGCGCACAGGAGCAGTCAGTCAATTCCCCGGAGAAATGGCGAAGGCAGAAAAGTATGTTTAGCTTCAATGGTTGCCATCAATGGTTCACGGCGCTGGGCGTGTCCTTCCCTTTGCTCCCTTCAACGTTGACTCGTCAGGGGGATGCCCAGGTTCGAAGATTGGCGAGACTGGACTACTCGTACCAAGCCCCAAAGACACGAAAACCGTCCCCGGGATTGCGCGTCGCGTCCAGCTCATCTTACTTCACGCATGCTTACCCCAAGGTCCGGGTGAGCTTCATCATGTTCAAAGTATAGTAAACTTTATGCGCAGAGTACACGCACTCGCCACTCTTCTCCCTCGCTTGGCACTCCAGACCCATTTCCAGCTCTTTTCCAGAGAAAATGTTATTTCCGATGCATGATGTCAACTCATGCCATTTTTGCCTTTATTCTCCCCTTTTGGTAATCCGAAACTTCTTCATTCATGTCTTGAAAGTTCCCACTCGGTGCCGCCCTTACTTTTTCTCCCATCTGTGTAACCAGTCCCCATTGTTGCAGTAGTCCTTGGAAAGCATGCATGGTACTTGGTGCTATGCGCTTTCACATTGGAATGCGTGAAGAACTCAACTTCAAAACGGGGAGACTCAGCATATGAGCATCAAGTTACATAGGGACCACGGACATGTTAAACTTGACAATACGTGCCTTGATCGCATGTATTACACCTCCCTTGGCGCTTAGGCTACCTTCGCACTAGAAATGCCGCTTGACTAGGCAAACGTGGAACGCTCTAATAGACGCGATGTTGGTGCAGATATAACTGATTGTTTGGCAGTTACACGTGGAGCTGGAATTAGAATAGGATCTTACTCTACGTGCCAAGCGCGATGCATTCGAGCAGCAGTAGGAGATATTTCTATTTTATGGAGACGCAAAGACGAAACGCGATTGTCGCACGATTGGTTAATTGTCAGCCGTCATTATAATATTTTGCTTGTTCGCCATCACGCAAGGTCAAAGGCGTGATTGGTTTAGTGGTAAAATTCTCCGTTGCCATCCGTGCAACGTCGGGGAGCCCTGGGTTCGATTCCCAGATCACGCAGCGGAATATTCTTTTGCCGCCCTCGCGCAAGTCTCAGGAGATTCTTTGCGTGGCATTCTTTTTGTTTCTCCTGGATACGCATTACGTATGGAAGGCGTGTAGAGTGTCAGCTTGCTGTCCAAGTTGAGAGACTCCAAGCCCATGATGTTTCACAGCCAGGTCTATATCGACATTTCGGCACTCGCATCGTCAGACGCAGCCCGTTTTTGTGGCTTGATTTCAATTCACGTCCTGTCACAGAGGCATGACGCCCCAAGGCTCAAAGACGTGACTGTCCAGCTCATGGACGAGCAACCATTGATTCGAGGCGACCGTGGAGGGTCGCTCATCAAGCCTCGTCATACAGGTCGGGCGCTCCAAAAGAGTACTTTTTGAGCGACGGTCCCTCTCCCACGAACAGGCTGGGCACCTTTTCCCTGGGCATCTGCTGAAACATCAAGGCCTTGACCGGCGTCTCGGTGCGGATACCGTCTAGAGCCCTGCTGCGCAGAAGCCTGCCCGAGGTCAAGGAGAAGAGCTTGACGGTGCCGTCGTCGTGTGCGGCGGCCACGACGCCGAGGTCGGGGCTCACGTCCCACCCGGCTTGAAAGTATGCTTCGTTGCGGTAGGAAGGAAAGGAGAGCAGGGGCCTGACGCCGTTGGGCTGCTGGGCGAAGAAGCGCATGTCGTAGAGGGCCATGGTGTTCTCCAAGCCGGCGACGATGATCTGGTGGGGATTCAGGCTGCGAACGTGGGCAATGGAGCTGGCGTGCCGGACATAGGTCCACTCCGACTCGGACGTCCGCAAGTCTGTGATCCAGAGCCGAGGCTTACGCCCGCCAGCGAGGAGGACGTTGTGGTTGGAATGCTGAAAGTCTTGGTCGAATATCTCTTGCGGGAGATGCTGGCCCTTGGGAGCGCTCTGAGGGGCGATCCAGGCCATGGTTTCGTTGGATCGGACGCGGAGGATGCCGGCGTTGGTGCCAATGACGCAGAGGAGGTCTGAATTTGGAGGGGCCGGTGTGCTCTGGTGAACAAGCCACTCGTCCCGCAGACGATGGCGGATGGAAAGGCGTTGATAGTGATTTGCTGTGCGCCGGCAGTGTCAGCGAGCATCCATGCAGCCATTGTATGAGTGCGACATACTCTCGCCGAGGAGCCAATGAGGCCGAGCATCGTCGGCCGGCGACAAGGGGGGTGAGAAAAAGTACAGGCCACAGCTGTGGTCGGGCTCGCGCGACGTCAGAAGGATCTTGTGAGAGGGTTTGTGGTACTTGATGGACGACATCTGCGGACAGCGGATCATCTCGGTGCGGAAGGACGGGCCTCGTTCCAAAGTGCCCGGCCTCTCGCGGTCAAAGGCAATGCTGGCCGGCAGTCAGAAGAAGGCAATGTCGTCAGCCGGGGGACGAACCTGTGGTTGTCATCCAAGGGGATGTAGCTGCCCACCAGAGTCTCCTCGTCGAGGGCTGGCTTCAAGTCAGCGGCGTATGGGCCAAGGGTCAGACAAGCTCACTCGCATACGCCACGCCCAGGCCGGTCTTGTCGTCGTCGCCGCCGACGTAGAAGCAGGGCATGTTGGCAAAGCTGGGCCTCGCAAAGCTCGGGACGAAGGGGACGCAGCCCTTGCTGACAACGGCGCCGGCCCAGGCCGCAGCGGCCAGGTCCCCGTCGTCGATCCTGGCCCAGTCAGGCTCGGAATTAGTCTGGCGAGAGAGCAGGCCGTCGGCGACGACATCTCGGCGCAGAGCGTGTCGCTTGATGTGGCGGCGGATGAGGTGGGCGCGGCGGCGGACGCCCTGGCGAGCGGCGTCGTCGGCCTTGCGCTTCTTGACGGCGTCGGCGGACCAGGCGGCCGAGGCGGGCGCCGTGTGTGCCTTTTCGATCTTGAAGTACTTGTTCCTGGCCTCGTCTGCGCAGGATGGTGAGCGAAAAGCCAGCATGGATGAAGCCGGGCTCACCGTAGTAGTAGCCCGGGATATCGGCGGGCATCGTGTCGACACGCCCCGTAGCTGTTGGTCTCTCTTCGGGAGCTGAATCGGTGCGATGGCGTCAATCAACACATTCGGTGAACAAGAAGTTGAGATGAAGCTTGGAGGTTTGGCCAGAGAGGGGCCGCCTGAAGTTTTAGGGGTGCAGTGTATATCTACCAGTGCCTATTTATATGCCGAAGTACATGCGGGGAACCTCACAAGGCACTCGCCTCGGGCCCGACAGTTAAAATATATAATTCGACATGCAAAGTTTGTTCTGAGACGCCTCCGTAGTGATATCGACTAACGTAGTGATATCGACTACCCAGGAGAATTCTCACAAAAATGGCACCTCTGCTGCTTATTTATGGCGACTTGAGCATGGACAAGAGCAACTCTTGGACCAGCATGGAAGCCTCCAAGCAAGCGAGGGGATATCGACCTTATTCTCAGTAAGTTGCTGCTATTATACCTGTCTTTTGTCTTGCCAGGTTGCCGCTACCTAGACGGAGCCGCTCAATGACAATACATATATGTGGCATGATTGCCCTGCTTTGTGGCAGTTCTGCTCATGAACCACAGTCTCGACTACGGTGAATAGCTCCTCATGCCTTCGCGTAGCAGGATGTAAGGATGGAGAACATGTCCCAGATGCATCGTCCACAGCAAGTGTTGAACATCGAGTCTTCTCACGAGCCTCAGCGTCGACATTCCCCGCGTGCATCAAGACACTAACGGCACGGCAGCCTACATGGCCGGCTCGATAGCTTCTCTTCCCAGAATGTAGTCGGCGGCGACGGGCGTTGCAATAATGGCTGGACTGACAACGGTTGCAAAGAGGCCTTGGGTTAAGTCGATTCACAGAGGCAACATCGATGGAGAAAAACTCCCTCATCGGCCCTCATGTAGGTTCAGAAAACCCCAAAAGGCCAGCAACGACTGACATCTGTCGCTGCAAGCCAAGACAAGCCATCGTTGATATTGACCCGCATCTGGCGTCTTTCGATGCAATCCTGTGCAGGGCATGGCTGCGTCTGCCGCTAACAACTGCCATTCAAGCCATCTTCGACGTCAATTGCGTGGCCAGCTGACCCACGGCTTCATGCATGTGACATCTGACGGCGCGGCTCTGCGTATTGAGATGAAGAGGCCCTCGGGATTCATTCCCGGGAGGAGTTGGCTACCATGTCCACCTTGCCGGGGATGAGAATGTTTCGCAATACAATGACCTTGGAGGTGCGGCCTTGTTCGATGGCGGCCGATGTACGGGGCGTCTGTGTTGGCGATGTCGGAGGGGGGAAACATGACTCCAAGACGGACCCAGGTGGTGATTGCGCAAGTTGCAGTCTACAGACAGCAATATTTATTGCTCATCTTGTTTTTAACTTGTTCATTAAGTTGTCTAAGGAAACGATTTCTAGGTATATGAAAAGCTGCCTCGTCATGCACACCAGAAGATGTGTCAATGCTCAGTTTTTTAAGACTCGTACAATGCAATTTAAACAGGGTGAAAAAAAAGCAGGCGCTGAGGCATGCGGGTATGTAGCATAGTCCTATTTACTGTGACTTCTCGTGCTGAGTAGAGACACGTTGGAGGGAGACAACTGCAGATAGGGTTAGTAAACGTACGGCCATGGGAGCATCGACATGACGTACCAAAGTCTTCCAGCGATCGCTGCTTCTGGTTCCGCTTGGGCGACTTGCCATGCATCAGGTTGTCAAAGCCGGCAGACCCTTGCATCAGGTAGTACAGACCACCCATGACGGAGAAGATGCCGAAAGAGAAGATCCAGATGCGGACGACGGCAACGATGCTGGTCTGCTGGCCGTTCTCGAACCAACCGAAGATACAGAAGAGGGTGGCAATGATGTCAACAACCAGGATGGCACCCGTGAGCTGCCAAGAGGGGATCGATGACCAGAAGGGGCCATTGGCACGGGTGATGAAGATGAGCCAGTTCTCCGTCAGGGAGATCTCGAGGAAGAGAACCTCGTCAATGTTACCAAAGTTCTGGATGATACCGCCGTTGGTGCCACCGGCAAACATAGTCGTCAAGGCAATCCATGTGCCAATGGCCAGGACACAGCCGAGCAGGACAGACATGCCCCAGAGCTTGGGAAGGTTCCACTTGACGGGGGTCTGCGAGAAGGGAGCGTTGTCGTAGGCAATGGCCAGGGTGGCAATGTCAGCGAAAATGGCGACGAAGACGACGAGCTCGATTTGCAAGCTGTTGTTGAGGATGGCGATCCAGAGACCGAGGAAGATCTCCATGTGCAGAGACAGGGCGATACGGTAGACGACGTAGGCGTACATGCGGTGGAAAATCTGGCGAGAGGTCTTGAGGGCATCAATAATGGCACCAAGACCAGGCGCAAGAAAGACAATGTCGGCGGCGGAACGCGCGGCGTCCGAGGAACCTTCGACGGCAATACCGGTGTCGGCCTTCTTCAGGGAGGGAGCGTCGTTGACACCATCACCAGTCATGGCAACCAGGTAGCCTCGCTGCTGCAGAATCTCGACAACGGAGTACTTGTGCTGGGGGAAGACCTCGGCGAACCCATCGGCAGCCTCGACGAAATCGTAAACCTCGGAACCAGGCATGTCACCGCCGCCGCCGAGACCCAGACGCTCAGCGTTATAGACGTTGGTGCCGAGGCCGAGCTGACGCGACGTTTCACGGGCGATGCCAACGGCGTCACCAGTCAACATCTTGATGGAAAGACCCAGGTTCTTGGCCTCGTTGATGGTGCGGGCAGTGTCGTGACGCGGGGGATCAGAGCAGGGCATGATGCCGAGGATCTCCCATGCACCCTCGCCACGCTTGCGGGCAACACCGAGCGAACGGAAACCACGAGTGGCGAACTCGGCGACGCAGTTCTTGTAGGCCTTGTCAATCTCCTCGGGGATGGGGTGATCCTCCTCGACCGTCTTGAGAACGAACAAAGGGGCACCCTTGACGCAGATGATGCGCTCGCCCTGCGGGGACTGGACAACGGCCTGGACCTTCTTCGAGACGGGATCGAAGGGGTGGAAGTCGAGAACCTTGTACTTGGACAGGACTCCCTTGGCGCGGGGGTAGTACTTGAGGGCCTTGAGGAAAGCCTTGTCGATGGCATCGATACCCTTCTTCTTGCGGGAGGCGGCCAAGCAGGCCGTGAGCATCAGGTCATCGGGGTCGACGCCGGGGACAGTGAAGGGCTCAGACAGAGAGAGCTTGTTCTTGGTCAGGGTACCCGTCTTGTCCGAGCACAGAATTTCGACACCGGCCAGGGACTCAATGGCGGACAGCTTCTGGACAATGGCCTGCTTCTTTGCGAGGTAGGCGGCTCCGACAGCCATGGTGGTGGTAACAACGGCGGGGAGACCGACCGGGACGCCGACGATGGTGATGGCCAGGGTGAATCGCAGGATTTCGACGATGCCATTGGAGCGGTAGAAGGACGAGACCCAGACGACGAGGAGGGTGACGACGACGAGAATCAAGAGGACTGTGCCGATGCCGTTGAGCACCTCGGTGAAGTGACCGGTTCCACCGGCAGACTGCGAGACGAGGGCGGCGGCGCGGCCAACAAAGGTGTTGTCACCAGTAGCGGTGACGACTACAAAGGCCTCCCCACGCTTGACGGCAGACGAGGCGAAGCAGTTGTCATTCTTATGCTTGTCAACAGCCAGCGACTCGCCAGTAATGGCAGACTGGTCGACCTGCAGGAAAGCATCCTCGGTGACGATGCGGCCATCGGCGGGAATAATGGTGCCCTGGGTAGGGAGGATTTCGTTAGCCGACGTCGGGTGGAGAGACATTGGTGTGGGCCAAAACTCACTTCCTCGACCTGCAGGATATCGCCGGGGACAACCTCGGGCGCCTCAATCTCCTTAAGAGTGCCGTCACGAAGAACGACGGCCTTGAGGGCAAGCGTCTTCTTCAACTCGTCGACAATGGACCCGGCCTGGTATTCCTGGACAAACCCGACGCAGGCGTTGAGGAGCAGCAGAGCGCAAATGACACCGAAATCGACCCAGTCCTGGAGACCGGCGGCGAGGACAGCGGCAGCCTAGGCAACATAGAAAGAGGCCCCGGTTAGCGCCCATTTCCACAAGCGATGACCAAACAGACTAGCAGCATCAGGTGAGACGTGACGGGGGGGCTAGTCTTGCGGGTGCGAAAGCAGGCGGCGATCAACTTTGTTTCGCAACAAATAGCGGGGCCAGCCTCTTGGGTCATGCCGGATGGATCGGTCTTTGGACCGCCCCCACATGTAGCCAACCAGTGCCATGAGCCAATTGCTTGCGGCCCACCATAGCTCCAGTGGAGCTCGTAATCTGCGGCACTCCGAAAAAAACGCGCGAAAAATGCCAACAGTGGACAAAAACATTGGGCGCAGGAATTGCGATCCCCCCGGGCGCTTTGCCGTAGCGGTTGGCTGCCCCGGGCGTCCAGCCCATGACGGAGGAGGGGGCGGACGGGAAGCCGCGTAGGACGGATGTGGCGGGAAACAAACTCACCTCCATGACGAACTGAATGGGACCAACAAAGTAGGACAGGAACTTGAGGAACAGGTTCTCCTTCTCCTCCTTCATCTGGTTGAGACCGTACTTGCGGCGGCGCGAGGTGACTTCGGATTCGGTAAGGCCAACGCGGCTGTCCGTCTGGAGCATGTCCTCGGGGATGACACGGCCGCCTCCCGGAGTATTTTCCTCCTCTTCCTCCTCCATGCCGCCGTGACCATCCTGCGACTCTAGGTCCTCGATCAGAGCGTCAATGTCCTCATCCTCGTCGTCGTCCTGGCCGGCGGCAGCCTTCTTGGGCTGGTGAGGCTGCTCCGAGTGGTATGGCTGCTGCTGTTGTTGTTGCTGCTGCTGGGCCCTTTTTTCATCAAAGCGGCCCGACTCGATATTGGTGTCGAGCGCAGGTGCGCCGACGGCCTTGTCGTCAGCCATGGCCAGGAGAGAGGTGATGAAATCGTTGTGTGGTCGTCCGCTAGCCCGACTGGTCCCCTGGAGAGGTGTTAAGAAATGCGACGAGTGATGAGCCTTGTTGTCTGCTGCGCTCCTGGGGAATAAGAGGCGACGACTCGCTGGATGGGGCGGATGAGGAGAGCAGAAGGCGAGGAGAAGAGGAGGGGAGAGAGGGGAGAGGGGAGGGGGGAGGAGAGGGGAAGAGGAAAGAAAGAAGAAGGCGAGTGTCGAGGTCACCGCACGAAAAGGGAAGGCGTACCTATGGACACTTGAGCGCAACTCATTCGTGGGTGGGAGGAAAGGAAGGAAGGAGGAGGGAAGGCAAGGCCGCGGGACGGGTGGGAGCGGCTATTTCAATGAGCGACACCGTCTCATCACCTTAGCCCGTTGCGGGCAGGCCAGCAGCCGAGCCAGCAGCGGGGGGGAAACTTACAGCAGGGCCAGCAGCAAGCTTTCGGCGGCCCAGGCATCATGGGGAAGAGAGCAAGAGACCATTCCCTGCCCCACTCCCCATCATCCCAGGCACGCCCACACACCACACTTTTTCTTGCCAAGCAACCAAAATGTCTGACTACGTCCCAGGTACTCCGTAGCTTCGTTGGGGGGAGGTACATGCCGCAACAGCACATACCTCTGCCCCAGGGAGCAGATACAATCGAGCTCAGGTACTGCCGCGTCCGAGGGGCGTGGTGGCTACACATACTCAGGCCGTGCGGGGTGTGCGCCATGGATACGGTGCCCATCAAAGGCCCGCTAGCGTGCCTCTCTGGTCCCCAGGGACAACCACAGAAACACACGCCACCGCCGCCTGTGGCAGTCACGTACTGTACGTCTAAGGCGTGGCCGCGGCAAAAGGTGTCGGTGGCGGTGGCAGCCGCGGGAGGAGGCAGCAGCTGCATTTACATTTTTGTTTTTCGACGTGCATGCTTCGGCTCGGCTCCGGGAGCGGATGATTGAATCTGCTTCGTCTTACGTTGGGCAGGGCAAGGCAGCAACGATAAGGCGCCCGGTTGCTGTAGAGAGCACTAGCAAAGATGAACGGTCATGCCAAGCAATAACAAATACCTTGTGTTGTCCCTGCCAGAGGGCGAATACGTGGGCGGTACGGCCCTGGCGCGGGACCGTCGCCCCCAGCACCCGGTATCATGTACATGGTTGGAGCGCGCACGGTGCCCTCGCCTCCCAGCCTCCTCTGCGCCCTTTGGCAGTGTGCTCGCCCGCGGGCTTGGCGCATCCGGAGCTTTCCAACAGCACCTCATACTTCGATCCCGAGGTCGACAGGCGCGCTCGCTGGGCTGCGCTGGGTATGTACCTCGGTACCCGGCGTGCATGCCTTTCCTTGGTTGGGGCTGTTTCCGTTGGAGGCACAGAACCAAGCGAGGCTGCGAGCGGGAGCTGCCCACGGCCACCTACCTCTCTTCCTCGACCACATTCCCCTCGCCCAAAGGCCGACGTCACCAGTCTACGAGGAGCGAGATGTATCGAGATGGGTACGAAGACACGCCACGGTCCGTACGATTACTTGATCCATTGTCCGGGCCCGAGCGAGTGGAAATTAGACGGCCAATTGGCCAAACAGACACATGGCGGCCGCATTCGTGCCCTCTGTTAGCCTGCCTGCACACGACAGATGGCTACGAGAGGTATGTCGGCCTGTGAGAGCCGTGATGGATGTTTCCGATGCCGCAACCGCCTGTTTCTCACTTGTAGTCGACATCCGTCTGCCCACCGACGAGTCTACTGTAATTACCGTGCGGTGCGTCCCCGAGCTGCATGGAAGCCGCCGTGTACTGCATGTATGTATGTATGTATGTACGTATGTATGTATGTATGTACGTGCGTATGTATGTAGGTATGTATGTATGTACAGTATGTATGTACGTACGTATGTCGGTGAAATCGCTCCATGCACATCCGCATGCCCATCAACAACAAATGCCCGGGGTGGAGATGGGGGGACAAGTTGCAAAGTCGGGAAATAGGCCGCAAGCCGCTTCTCGCTTGCCTGCCCGCCGTGGCGCTTATGCCGAGAAGATTAGCTCGCGATGCATTTGCAAGCCGCCGAGTGCTGCGTGTAAGCCGATTGCTGTCGAGCATGCACGCACGCCACCCAGGTTGGGCTTAGCGCCCACGATGCGGTCCCTTTGGAGGGTCGCAGCCTTCTTTGTTTCCACGGCCCTTCGATGCGCGAGCCATGTGCTATCATTCGGCCTCGTGTGGGCAAGAAAAGGGTCGCTCGCGGGGACTCCGGACGAGTGCGACGCAGCATTGGCAAAGCCTGGGGGCGATTGGTGAGGCATTTGGAGATCTGCAATGCTGCGGAGAACCCTGTCCCCCTTTGCCAAACCGACGACGCCGTTTTCCCAGCCGCCTCCATCTTGTCCTGAAGCAGAGCCAACACCAAGGGGAGGGAGACCGACTCGCCGCTGCTGTTGGATGTTGCAGCCCTGGACCGCTGAGGCATTTTTCGGTCACCGGCATCTGGCAATGACGACACCGGGGCCCGGGGGAAACAAGGAGGGCCCTTTTTTTGGCGGGAAACGAGCTTGTGGGCCTTGGCAGTCGGCCCTCCCCGGCCCCCCGGCCTGCCTACCGGGCGGCGGTGACGGTCAGCAAGCAGCAGCAGCAGCATCGTCGTCAGCCTCGCGCGGCGAAGAAGCAACGAGGGTCGAGAGATTGGCCGTGGCGCAGGCCGTGCGTGTCCCCTGTGCCGAGCACAGAGAGAACTGTCAACTCCAAGACACACCCGGGCCGGTACCAGGTACCAGGCACGGCATTGCGGCCTGTACGCTGTACGGTGTACCCTGACAGCATGCGTGTAGCGCCCACAACCAGCCACTAACCCCCTCCCCTGTCTGGCGTTTGTGCTGCGCGGCACTTGGCGATGAAGAAACAAAACCCCTAGCAGGAGCACATGCATCCTGTTTTCCCATGTCTCGAGGTGGGAAGGCGACAGCATCCATTCCTCTCCCGCCGGTGCTTCATCTAATAATAGGGCGCATGCACCCCCCCCGGCCGACGGGTCGAGAGTCAAGAGCGTCTCGCCCGGCGACGTCGAGGCCGGCATCATCCATCCTCGACCTGCGTGCCTGACTATCGGCTAAAAGGCTTGGCGAGGGCGACAGGCTCGGCGGCTCCAGAACCTTTTCTCCAGATTCAGGAGTCGAGACACCACCACCTCCCCGTGGGTGCGACCCCGGCGGCGACGGCGATGGAGTCGACGGCAGCGCCAAGCAAGCAACCTTGTTGGGGGAGCCATCGTGGCTGGGCAAAGGCATCGCTCACGCCCCCTTTTTCACCCACTCTGTCGTCTGTCTCATCCCCGAGGAGGTCGAATGCGGTGCTTGCGAGGCGGCTTTTATTTTTTTAAGGTTGGCGGCAAGGTTGTTCTGTTCCAGAGCCCTGTCTAAGGGATGACGACGGAAGGGGGGCGAGAGAGACAGCAGCTTAAGCTTACATTTCTACTGCGTGTCTGTATTGTGTCCTCTCTCTCCTCCTTGGCCGCCTGCTTACCTGCTGTACAACCCTGATCTGACCCTGGAACATGACCGGCGGGCTTGGCGGTCGACTCGAGAAATGCGGCGGCGGCGGCGAGTGCGAGAGCGCGGCGTAGCTTGGCCTTGGCCGAATCATGACGAGAACTTTTTTTTGCCTCCTTCCGCCCTCTTGCCTTGCTTTTCCGGCTACCTTTTCTCCCTCCATGTGAGACAGCGCGGTTGCACGAGAGGGGTCGGGGTGGGACGAAAGCAGCAGCAGCAGCTCTGCACGATTGCTTGTCAAAATCCGTTTTCTGTCTCGCCCACGGACGGCATCTGCCAAGCCGCCAGCGCGAGGATCGTCCAGAGACGATAACGTCCCCTTTTTCCAATCGTTTGTTTGCCCCTGAGTCCAATATCTCTGACCCGGGCCTCTCCTCGCCACGACGTCTCTCGCTCACGGCCTGGACGTCCTTTGTTTGGCCCCTACAGGTGCACTGCGGAGGAAATCCAATCTGGAGCACCGTGCGCCACACTGGCTGGCTCCTCTCTCGCCCGTGACATTGAACGTACAGATACGGATACAGCACGGATACCCCCCCGGGGATTCTCACGCGGGACCCCCCCCACTTGGCTGTTTGTACCTTGCCTTAGCGACGTCCTTATCTTGGGCTTTTTCTGGGGCCAAATCCCACTCTCTTTTCTCTCACCCGCCGACAAGGTTTTCCCTTCTCGTCGCTTCTTTCATGCTTCGCGCATTGCCTTGGGACGAATAGAGTCGTGCATGCCTCGTGGCGTGGCGGGGAAGAGGCCGGATGGATGCATCGTGACCCCATTGGCGGATGCATCGCTTGCCTGGACGCCCTGGTGCAAGACGACTTTTAGACGACTTTTAGACGACTTTTAGACGACTTTTGTTCGTCGCAGTCGACGTAACGTATTCGTGCCCGGACAGGCAAGATTATACAGGAGGCATGTCACTCTTGCGCACGCAACCGCAACGGTTGCATTACCTGCCAGGCGTCGCTCTCTGCTGCCATGGAGGCCTTTCCACTCTGTCCAAGCAAAGCCCCTGATTTGTTCCTCCTTTTTGCTTCTTTCTCCCTCGTGCCCCTACCTACATAGCTTATTTCTACCGCAATGTCCCATCTACCGGCGCCGTACCAGCCACAGCTGCGTTTTTCCTTCTGCTTTTCTCCTGCTGCTTCCGTCTCTGTTTTGCCGGGCCTCCAAATCTGGGATCCGTCAATGGAGCGCCATGCCGAGAAAGGGACTTGGAGAGAAACCCGTCAGCGGTTTAACAATGCATTCAATTGGCCTGGTCTATGAATATCCTGCCGATCAAACGCACCACCGACACACACACTAACATAAACAACAAGAGAGGAACAGCCGTAGACTTTATTGGTCGGTTCCACTACGTCATTGGAATGCGTCGCCCGCTCCTCGTCTTCCCCCCCTCCCCGGCCAAAAGTCCCGGTCCTCGGCCGGCCTCTCTACCTTGAC